GAGTAGAGGGTCGTCATTGTAGTCCAAAATGTAGGGTTTTGAAAGGGCTTTAATTTGGTACCTGTCCGAAGCCTGTATCTCTAACCGTTTAGGAGATATCGAAGGTTAAAGTTTTCTAACCTTTCTCCGTCGATATCCAGCCTTCATCCGTCGATATCTCCGCTTCTATTGGGAGTAGAGGGTCGTCATTGTAGTCCAAAATGTAGGGTTTTGAAAGGGCTTTAATTTGGTACCTGTCCGAAGCCTGTATCTCTAACCGTTTAGGAGATATCGAAGGTTAAAGTTTTCTAACCTTTCTCCGTCGATATCCAGCCTTCATCCGTCGATATCTCCGCTTCTATTGGGAGTAGAGGGTCGTCATTGTAGTCCAAAATGTAGGGTTTTGAAAGGGCTTTAATTTGGTACCTGTCCGAAGCCTGTATCTCTAACCGTTTAGGAGATATCGAAGGTTAAAGTTTTCTAACCTTTCTCCGTCGATATCCAGCCTTCATCCGTCGATATCTCCGCTTCTATTGGGAGTAGAGGGTCGTCATTGTAGTCCAAAATGTAGGGTTTTGAAAGGGCTTTAATTTGGTACCTGTCCGAAGCCTGTATCTCTAACCGTTTAGGAGATATCGAAGGTTAAAGTTTTCTAACCTTTCTCCGTCGATATCCAGCCTTCATCCGTCGATATCTCCGCTTCTATTGGGAGTAGAGGGTCGTCATTGTAGTCCAAAATGTAGGGTTTTGAAAGGGCTTTAATTTGGTACCTGTCCGAAGCCTGTATCTCTAACCGTTTAGGAGATATCGAAGGTTAAAGTTTCTAACCTTTCTCCGTCGATATCCAGCCTTCATTCGTCGATATCTCCGCTTCTATTGGGAGTAGAGGGTCGCCATTGTAGTCCAAAATGTAGGGTTTTGAAAGGGCTTTAATTTGGTACCTGTCCGAAGCCTGTATCTCTAACCGTTTAGGAGATATCGAAGGTTAAAGTTTTCTAACCTTTCTCCGTCGATATCCAGCCTTCATCCGTCGATATCTCCGCTTCTATTGGGAGTAGAGGGTCGTCATTGTAGTCCAAAATGTAGGGTTTTGAAAGGGCTTTAATTTGGTACCTGTCCGAAGCCTGTATCTCTAACCGTTTAGGAGATATCGAAGGTTAAAGTTTTCGAACCTTTCTCCGTCGATATCCAGCCTTCATTCGTCGATATCTCCGCTTCTATTGGGAGTAGAGGGTCGTCATTGTAGTCCAAAATGTAGGGTTTTGAAAGGGCTTTAATTTGGTACCTGTCCGAAGCCTGTATCTCTAACCGTTTAGGAGATATCGAAGGTTAAAGTTTTCTAACCTTTCTCCGTCGATATCCAGCCTTCATCCGTCGATATCTCCGCTTCTATTGGGAGTAGAGGGTCGTCATTGTAGTCCAAAATGTAGGGTTTTGAAAGGGCTTTAATTTGGTACCTGTCCGAAGCCTGTATCTCTAACCGTTTAGGAGATATCGAAGGTTAAAGTTTTCTAACCTTTCTCCGTCGATATCCAGCCTTCATCCGTCGATATCTCCGCTTCTATTGGGAGTAGAGGGTCGTCATTGTAGTCCAAAATGTAGGGTTTTGAAAGGGCTTTAATTTGGTACCTGTCCGAAGCCTGTATCTCTAACCGTTTAGGAGATATCGAAGGTTAAAGTTTTCTAACCTTTCTCCGTCGATATCCAGCCTTCATCCGTCGATATCTCCGCTTCTATTGGGAGTAGAGGGTCGTCATTGTAGTCCAAAATGTAGGGTTTTGAAAGGGCTTTAATTTGGTACCTGTCCGAAGCCTGTATCTCTAACCGTTTAGGAGATATCGAAGGTTAAAGTTTTCTAACCTTTCTCCGTCGATATCCAGCCTTCATTCGTCGATATCTCCGCTTCTATTGGGAGTAGAGGGTCGCCATTGTAGTCCAAAATGTAGGGTTTTGAAAGGGCTTTAATTTGGTATCTGTCCGAAGCCTGTATCTCTAACCGTTTAGGAGATATCGAAGGTTAAAGTTTTCCAACCTTTCTCCGTCGATATCTCCGCTTCCACTGGGAGTAGAGAGTCGTCCGTGTAGTCCAAAATGTAGGGTTTTGAAAGGGCTTTAATTTGGTACCTGTCCGAAGCCTGTATCTCTAACCGTTTAGGAGATATCGAAGTTTAAAGTTTTCCAACCTTTCTCCGTCGATATCCAGCCTTCATCCGTCGATATCTCCGCTTCTGTTGGGAGTAGAGGGTCGTCCATGTAGTCCAAAATGTAGGGTTTTGAAAGGGCTTTAATTTGGTACCTGTCCGAAGCCTGTATCTCTAACCGTTTAGGAGATATCGAAGGTTAAAGATTTCCAACCTTTCTCCGTCGATATCTCCGCTTCTACTGGGAGTAGAGAGTCGTCCATGTAGTCCAAAATGTAGGATTTTGAAAGGGCTTTAATTTGGTACCAGTCCGAAGCCTGTATCTCTAACCGTTTAGGAGATATCGAAGTTTAAAGTTTTCCAACCTTTCTCCGTCGATATCCAGCCTTCATCCGTCGATATCTCCGCTTCTATTGGGAGTAGAGGGTCGTCCATGTAGTCCAAAATGTAGGGTTTTGAAAGGGCTTTAATTTGGTACCTGTCCGAAGCCTGTATCTCTAACCGTTTAGGAGATATCGAAGGATAAAGATTTCCAACCTTTCTCCGTCGATATCTCCGCTTCTACTGGGAGTAGAGAGTCGTCCATGTAGTCCAAAATGTAGGGTTTTGAAAGGGCTTTAATTTGGTACCTGTCCGAAGCCTGTATCTCTAACTGTTTAGGAGATATCGAAGGTTAAAGTTTTCCAACCTTTCTCCGTCGATATCCAGCCTTCATCCGTTGATATCTCCGCTTCTATTGGGAGTAGAGGGTCGTCCATGTAGTCCAAAATGTAGGGTTTTGAAAGGGCTTTAATTTGGTACCTGTCCGAAGCCTGTATCTCTAACCGTTTAGGATATATCGAAGGTTAAAGTTTTCCAAGCTTTCTCCGTTGATATCTCCGCTTCTACTGGGAGTAGAGAGTCGTCACTTACGGCAAAATGTAGGGTTTTGAGAGGACTTTAATTTGGTGCCAGAACCAGGCCTGTATCTCTAACCGTTTAGGAGATATCGAAGTTTAAAGTTTTCCAACCTTTCTGCGTTGATATCTCCGCTTCTACTGGGAGCAGAGAGTCGTCATTTACGGGAAAATATAGGGTTTTGAGAGGACTTTATTTTGTTGCAAGAAACAGGCCTGTATCTGTAGTCGTTTATGAGATATCGAAAGTTAAATTTTTCCAACTTTGCCGTTGATATCTCCGCTATAAGGAAAAAGCTATAAAGAAAATGCTCGCTCGTTCCTCGTCGCGCGCGATCGCCTCTTGTCGCTTACGTTGCCGCTCGCCGCGCGCTCTTGCCTACCGTCACTCACTAACTCTGCCTGTATCAAATGTCTACGTGCTTACTGCGGCCGCCCCCCGCTCTCTACGCGCTCGTTGGCTCACATATTTTAATTAATAACTCGATAACTATTGGCAATTTGACATTATGGTACATGACTTTTCTTCTCGGCTACACCCAATCTATCTCCAACTTTCGTCTGCATGATCAGCTATCAAACACCCTATATATTATATGTTTTCATAATGGGTGCTTTCAGCGGAGAAAACCGCTCAGTGAACGATTAATGACTATTGGTCCTTAAGGCTCGTCTACATTAGCTGTAAGAATAAGGCTGTAAGGTTGCAAGACACGAAATGAAATATTTTCATTCGCTGACAGCTTACGTTACAGCCTTACAGCCTTACTTTTACAGCTTTTATCAGCTTAAGACTCATCTACATTAGCTGTAAGGCTAATGTAGATGAGTCTTTACATTCAGACCAATAACATTGACGAATTACTCTACAGTTGCGCAACTGTTGAGTGTGTGAACGCACCCAATGTATATTTTCGCAATATACGTGAATACGTGTCTATGAATATGTATGTGTTGTGTACATATCGATAAATGTCGATAACGAAACTGTAAGTGTTGGTATTACCAACATTATTAGTTCCGCTCAGGTGAGGGCGCAATCCTACTGGAGTTCGGTCGCCGCTCCAGGATCCCCTTAATGCAGAAAACAGGCCGAATATGTATGTGTGTATGTGTTTTGGGATTGCAAGACGTGAGAAAATTTAGAATAATTTTTATTTTAAATATGTACACACGTTGACATACCTTAAGTTAATAATTCGAAGTTGAGATAATACTAAAATTGCAATCAGAAATATATGTACAGAGTGTTTCACAAATTCCTCGCTCCTAGGAATTCACGAAGATATAGAACGGATTAAGATAAATATAAAATTCCCATACCATTTTGCGATGTTCGCAACAACCGAACTATTTATTACAGATATGTAACGAATAAGCACGCGCCGAGATGATATCGAAAAAGCAACGAACGATCTGATGACGACAGTTGCCAACGTGCAAGAAGAAGAACAAGTCACCACTACTCGTCGGTGATATAACGATCTGGAAATGAAAAATAATTTTTCGTCGGACTCTTCCGGTAGAGAGAAAGTCAAGAAAGAAGGTATTGGTTACATATTTTCATATTTATATAATATTTATTACTTTTTCAATATTATAAAACAAAATATTATGATATATATTTGTCTCTTTTTCCGCGTTTGTGTTTTTGTAATTTCAAATGCAGACATTGCTGAAGATTGTGGTTGAAAGGAACATATTTAACACCTAGTCGTATGCAGAATTTATCTGCAACATTTGAGTATAAAACGTAAACGTACAAATACGCATAAATATATAAATTTCCTTGATATATTTATAATCCCCTTTTGTCATCTGAATCAAAAGCAAAAAATGAAGTAGAAGAGAAAAAACGGAACAAAAGTCCTTACGTAACTTTTGCCAAGTGTTTCATAAACATGTCTCGTTGTTTCCTGATCGGAAGATGGAGATGACATAATTTCGCGCATTTCTGCATTTGAAATTGACATTCTCGATGTTGTTCGTAAACTAACGTCTCGATCGCCTCAAAACCATCAAAATCCGAATGTTTAAAATTGTTAAAATCCGAACGTCGCTCATTCATACATATTCAAGCTACACCGGGGAAGAACGCGTTCTGACTCGAATTTATCGACGTACTATACGATAATACTGCCAGAAGCATGAGACACGAACGTATGATAAATAATAAAATAGAATACAGTGAGAAGTAGAAGCAAAACGATGCTCGACGTGACAGCACGATAAGCTCAAGGCAGAAGCGATGTGTGCGGCAGCACAAAATACAAAAAAAAGACGAGGAAAATGTAGAGGTACGAAGATAATTACATTTGCTCGAGTCGAAAGAGACGAATATATAAATACGTAGAAAATAATCGAATGTGCGAATGTGTATGTTGTGTATGTGTGTGTGTGTGTGTTGTGTATGTGTGTATGTATGCGTGCGTGCGCACTCACTAGTACTCGCTCGAGAGCGCGAATTATCGAAGAGGAACTCTGTAAATCCCCGAGAACATTCGCCGCAGTTGGTCTCATCTTACGGCGGAGTAATTCGGAGTTGGCGTGTTTACCGTCCCCCAGAAGAGGATCAGCCCGGTCGGGTCATGCCGGATGAAGAAGAGGAAAGGCCGATTGGCGATCAGTCGCTTCTGATTACCATCGCGCTCGAGGATTACGGAAGTCGACGCCGCGGCTTCAGTACCGCGTTCCGACACTTCCATCTCTACCTTGTGCAGTACATCATCGGCGAACAGACCCGGATTCGTCAGTTGCCCTTTGTTCCGCAAGTCATCCAGGCCGTAGTATGGGAAATTCTGGCTCTGGATGAACTTGAGGAAACTCTGGTCCATGGGTCGAGCGACCTGACGTCTCTTCCGGCCCGTGCGCTTCTCCTCGCCGGAAGCCTCCCGGAAGCGGTACTTGTTCTCCTCCAGGCTAACGTACTTTGTGTTCGGATTGTCGCGACGGAGGTCCCCATGGTCCTCCTTGGCAACGTACGTCAGTCGAGACGCGTCATCGTCACGTCCGTCATCGGTGTCGCGGCGTGTTCTGCGAATTTTTCGAATGTGAAAACCCGTGCCCCATTGCTCCACGGCAACTCTGCGTGGCTTATCCTCGTACCTGAAATAATTTCTCCTCACACCGCCGGTCACAGCGTCGTTTTCACCTGGATCGAATCGCGAGAAGATCAAGATGTTGTTGTTGTTGTCGTTGTCCATAGCTTGGCTCGACACTTGCGGCAAGGCTTGCGGTATAGCTTGCGACAGCACATTCGACAATGCCTGCTGTTGGTTTTGCGGTAATGTTCGCGACATGTTTTGCGATATTGCCTGCGGCAGCGTTTGCGGTATCGTATATGGCCGCGGCGTTATGTTCGATGTGATTGTTTGAGGACGATATGCTGCTTGAGGACTCGCGAGCGGCCGTATCGTTTGTGTATTTACGAGTGGCAGCACTGCTAGTGGATCATAAGGACGTCCCGTGGCAGCAGCCACCGGTTGAGCGCCGTAGCCGCTCGACAGGATACTCAGGTCCGCGCTATGGGGATTGAACAACGAGCGTAGACCTAGACTGGTAAGTGCTTTCTTCAAGCTCAACGAACTCGAGAGCTTCATGCGCGGCAGACCGATAACGCAAGTCTGATTCTTAAGGTTGTTCATCAAGTGTTCGATCATTTCCGTCGTCAGTTGGTTGCTGAAGCTCCTCAGGGCGGTGGCGCCTTCGGCTTTCGGCAGGAGCACGTACATGGACATCTGCAGATACATCGAATAGACTGATCAGTTCTTTTGTAAACAACCTCATTATTTTATGAATAAGTTCGATATCGCGCTTCAACATCGCGTTTACACATTGATTGCCATGTTAATACGCAATCTCTTACCTCCAATCCTTTGTAGGGCAGCTGCACTACTTTAACACCGAGTGACTTGTCCTCGTAAAAGGGGAACGAACCACCGTTGTACATCATATCTATCTCAATCGCCGACTCATTCGGCTCGACGGAAAATGGCCTCCTGTAACAAGACGTCACAGTTGTTGCCGCGAAACGTATAATAATGATCTGGCAAAAACAGGTTTGCATCTTATCGCGATTAGTCCGCGTAAACTGCAGGAATTTATACCTTCTCGTAGCGGAGTTTATAAAGTGCTGATTCCACTCGCCGTTGAAGTAAAGCGCCGACGCGAGTATCACGTTAGTCTGGGGATCTGGTGCCTGCGATATTATGCCGGAGATCTTCTCCATCGTTCGTTGCTTCACCCAATTGTTGATCGTCTTCACCGCTTCCTCACCTCTGTTGCGGAAGTCCAGGTTTATGACTTCGCTCTTGTACGCGTTCTGGCTGATCGCTTGGAATTGGGGGCGAATGGGGAATCCTTCCTGGAAACATCGAGTAAAAGATGAACGATCGAAGACCGCCGCATGCTTGAAATTCAGTTCACGTATAAATTGTTCCCGCTCATCCGCGAGCTGAGAGGCTATCAACGCTTCAACATTCGTTCGTATAGCTTCTCGTGTCGCATTAAATCAGCTCTTCTCTGCAAACACGGAAGACTCTTCCTTCCACCTGGAGATTTCGGTGCTGACACATTTCGCGATCGCGAATAATCGTAAAATGTAAATGACTCTGTAAATGAAATACCTGAACGAAGATACCGCTGGCGGTAGAGACGCGCGGCCCGTTGCCTTCCGCGACTCTATAATTCACGGTGTTTAGCAGCAAGCCGAACATCTGATGGACGATTTCCGAGTGTTGGGATATGTCGACGCCGGTCTCCAAGCCGAGCACCCGCGACACCTCATCGAAGGTGCGTCCAGCGGATCCCAATAGCACCACCGATAAGGCAGCGCCTATGTTGAGCGGCGAGAAGATCGAGTTTTGACGATTTCGGCTGGCCGCCGAAGTCTCTTTGGAGTTGTAAATCGCCTTGTCCAAGTCCAAGGTAAACTTCGTGATGCCCTTGGCTATAATGTTGTTCACCTGAAACCGATCCGCCACTATTTTAGTCACATATGGAAATTCGAGTTGAGATGTTGGAACTGTTCTGATATCTTAGATTTGAAATTCAAGGTTGCGGAGTGGCGCTGCCGATTGGTAAATGAAAAGTGGAAGAGCAACAACTTCGAGGTCTTCTCTTTGTAGAAAAACGAAAAAAAACAACCGCATAGTACTCGCGATCGGATATTCTCGCGGGCTTACTGCCGGTTGTTGTCTCCTCTGCTTTTTTCATTATTTTCACGGTTTGTCCTGTAGCCGCAGCGTGCAAACAAGCTGCTGACGACTTACATGAGTGCCCCAATCTTGCGGCAAAGATTGCGGGCTGGGTACCGGCGTTGTGATCGTCGCCGGGGGGTAGTACGCTGCCTGAGACGGGGCAGATAATGGTTGCTGTGATGGTGCTTGGGATGCGGCAAATAATGGACGTCCTGATGCTGCCTGAGCTGCGGCTGCATATTGCTGAACATCCTGTACCGGCTCTCTGTTGCTGGTACCCAAGATACGCTCGTCGCTCGGGTACGGGTAAGGTGAATTCGACGCCGCCTTCATTATCTCATATTGATCCGGGTAAATTATCTGACAGTGACCCAACGCCAGAAGGCCGAACAACAACAGCCACGCTCGCGTCATCCTTTCCTGCAAAGCGGCAAAAGATCGGGGATGATTTGTGAGATCTTGAAACCGGGGTAAAATCAAGGTGGTGGTCGACGGGAAAGAATCGTCTTGTGGGATCATGAATTTCTTGCGGACGAAGAAGCGCTTTGAAAATTACCGCAAATAAAGTGGGATGGTTTGAAGTTTCAGTGTAGTACAAGTATGATAATTTTAGGTACTATTTTAAAATACATCAAACGTGTTTCAGTTCTCGCTGGGTGTATCCGGATGATGCCAGATGCATGGTAAGGCCGATCGATGACAGAGGACTACGTAGAAACATTCCGTCACTTTTAACTATCAGGTGTGAGAACAAGATAGCATTCAGATACGTTGCATGTCAGAGGCGTGCTCGATGAGTGTCAGCTTTTCAAGGAATTCAACTAACGAAAGTACGTGGAAACGGAGTCTCCGATATGCACGGCGATCGTAAATTCCGCATCCATCGCGGACGATTAGCGGCCGAGTATCGTAACCGTAATCACACCTATTGGCACAAGTTTCATATAATTACTCGTTGCTCGTCACTCGTTCATACATGTATGTACATACGTATTACATGAACGATCGACGAACGCCAACAAGCATATTCTAAGAAATATATATCGTTCTATCCGTAAACGCAAGATACACGGCATCGTACATCGTGGTGTACATGCACCGTTATTATCAATATTAATGTATCATCGAGAGTAAATAGCGAGATGATAATGACGGTGACGAGTGGCCTAAATCACGCATGAGGGAAGATGCGAGAACGCGTCGAGTGTCTTTTGCTCACTTTGCGTATCGTACTCGTAAAATATCAGTCAGACGGCGGAATTGTGATTTTGTTAATACCAAAATTAACGACGATTAATGTGACCCTGTCGGAGCGGACCTTTGAAACTACACGTCGTGCAGAAACAAGAATATTTATTTATCGATTTCTCTCAATACTGTACTCAATGTCCATTAAAGATACAAAATGTAATCGCGTAAATTTGGGTGATTTTGATGAGAAATTACAAACCGATTATTTTTTTTACCGCTTGGTGAGCCTTTAGCGTGAAAGAGAAGAATGTTCAACGCGTTCTGCCTCGAATCGCGTCGAACTGATTTGATTTCAAATCCCCCGGAAGTGTAATCTCATGGTATCTCTTTTCGCCGAGGCAAGCGTGGCATTCTAAAATTGGCCAAAACTCCGACTGAAAGAACATCCGGGAGTTCTAGGACACTTCGGCTCTCGCATCACTTCCCAAGCGATACTCACGGTGCCATTGATTTGGAATAACATAATTAATCGTGCCAGACGTATCTCTCATTATGTAGAGATAGGCAGGACTAATGAGACCACTGTACGGAAATGTAGTTCGATAAATATATCTACACCCAGGAAATATGCGCGAAACGCGAAAGATCGCATTTGATACGTCGCAATTAAAAATGACAACTGAATCTTCATTGATTAATTTATAGCATCATCATCCGCATTATTTCCATACGCGTACTGGTTTAAATTAAATTCTTAAAGTTACTGGCCGGATTCTATCGGGTTTATTTGTGAGTTTTTAAACGTTGTTTAAATCGCGCTGACAATCTCGAAATGTTAATAATCTGCGTGCGCCGCTTCAAGTTGTATTGGGAAGTATCGGACTAACAACTAAACAGAAGCGTATAATTATCTTGATCAACATTGATACTTCCGAGAAAAATCACGTAAAATTTAGGATATCCTAGTATAATCAATGAGCCGCATAATCCTGACGCATCGTGTGCAGGCGCGTCACTAAGTTAACGTCTTGTTCCTCCAGCGTCCATTAAAGCTAATAGTCTCACGATCATTTATCTAGCGCTCAACATGGAGTCATCCAGTGTTTTCTGCATCCTGTATTCACTATTATTCAGAAATAACGCGCATATCTTAATATCGATTGCGTTACGCGCGAAGAAGGAAAAGAGAAAACACCGTCGAAAATACATTACGTTTATATTAGCGTTTTACGCAATTCACTTGTGAGATGTTTCGTTCGACATAAGACAACGTGAGTCTAGAAAATAAAAAGAATTCAGAAGAGAAGAAATCGCTTAGTTGAGAGTATCAATTAACAGTAACGTTACATCAATATTTAGGCGAGAAATGGTTTTGTCAGACTCAAAATACAAACTGTGTGTTTTTTTTGTTCCCTGAAGGAACAACGTTGAAAATCAATTGCTACATTTATTTCAGATTTTAATTCTACCAATGAGAATGAAAAATTTAAAAAGTCAGTCGACTTTCCCAGGATTAAATATTTCGTCTGATTATTAAAATAAAGTAAATTCCTTAATTACTTTAGTATAACGCGCGGTTGGTAAGATTTTTACTACATGCATGATACGCAAATAAACTGATTCTACGTTCGAAGAAAAGTGCGTTCTTGTCGCGTTAATATTCGTCAGTCTCTATTGAGGACCTGGACAAAGGGTCGCTGTTACTCTAGATTCTACAATGAACACGGCAACGAAGCCGAGAATGCTTCCTTTGTGGTTAGTAATTAACTTTAGACGGTGTTCGGAAATTTATGCCAGGAATAACCCGACATCTCTGGGCGTGTCGGATATAATACCTGCGTGTAAGGGTATGATCTTAAAGAGGCGCAGATCTTTAAGACACGGTTCTTTGTCTCTCACTCTCAAAGAGGCGGTCTCAAGTCGCATATAATGCCGTTGGGAATTCCCAGAGGAGTGGCGAGTGAACACACATTGATTAGGGTTAAGCTGCAGATGAGCACAACGCACCCGTCAGACTATTCCCGAGACGAAGTAATGGCATTCAATTATTTATTATTCAATTATTCAATTACGAATGTTAATCACATGGACGTGCTCAATGTCACGGAAAGATTTCCGCGGAAGGTGATTTCCGAAGCGCTTTTCGCCGAGTGTAACGACCAACCGCGCGGAACTCGAGCGAAAAGTCCCGTGGCTGACACTCAATCATCTCGGGGATATTCCGCTTGTGTGTGTGTGTGTGTGTGTGTGTGTGGGCGTGCACGCGTTTAAAATAAACAAAATCAATTTTTGCTACGCATCTCGCCGCGATGTGTCGCGTGTCGGGCGTTACAAGATGACGCAATGCATTTATATCGAGTAGTGACGTCTTCAACAGTTGGAATTCCCACCTGAAAGTTAACTAACGATGCGAAGTGTTCTATTCCGTTCAGAATTGTGTTCGATCTATTGATTTTACTTTTTTTTTCCTTCATTTATTCGTTCTAGTTCGTATTCTTATCCCCGACGGAAGTCGGTTGTGTGTCAATGTCCATATACGTTTCCTCGTGCGTGACGAGAGACACGTGTTTGGCGAACTCTTACAACATTCTGTACTCTAGAATCTAAATAATCTCAGCTCTCATTGCAATTTCCAACTGACTGCCGTCTAAGTTTTCCTTGAGGACTCAACAAATGAATGAAAACGAATCGGAAGGGATTCAACGATGTCGGACAACTCGCGATTCTCGAAATTGATTAACAGCTTTGAAAATCCTTAAAACTTCCTCTCCCCGTGATTTTATGAGCGATTATTTATTATTCAGTATTATATGATCGATTATTCATGATACTTTATTCGGTTATTTTCCACAGAGCCGCTATATTCGTCTTTTGTTTGTCAATTTTATTTTGTTCTTTTTACACGCTATTTTTATTTCATCTATAATTTTGCGGAAAGAAAAAAAGACGTTCTCGCAGTTATCAAAAATATCGCCTCTAAACAGGACTCGATTTTATCTCGAAGGTCGTCATCGGTGAAAGTGAAGAGGCGGCGCGGCTAATTTATATTACATGTTGCATATTCTCCGCTTTGCGCTGCATTGAAAAATGTCGTACCACACGTAGCTGTTTCGCTTCTCAACAATAACACGCCCGAATAATAACGAGAGATTCTCGTGCACAAAGGATTATGTATTAAGGATAGATCTAGCTTGTAATTATAGCGACAGCTATAATTAAATTGAGTGAACAAGGAAGGATAATAATCTAAAGCGTTATTCCGCAAAGGAGGACGTTACTCCGTTTCGCGGAAAGCGCGTTCAGCAACGTATCGACAGGACTCGCTACTACTACAATCACATTCTATTATACAATTTTACTTCCACCACTTCTACCGATGACAGGAGCGTAATTATCCCGGACGACGGTTATATCAAAACCATAAAAGGCACACTATACATGAAGCATGAGACGTAATATAAACACAAGTTGCTGCACAAACACGAAACTTAAATCATTCTTCTCATTTTCTTCTTGTTTTTTGTACCAACGACTTAAACACGTTTACTTTAGGAAGGAAATGGCAGTTCTTCTCCGCGAGAGACACTCGGCATTCAGATATCGATATAACAAATCATTCTATTCTATCGCCATCATCCATCAGTAATTGTGTCCTGAATATTGACGACAAAAAATAATGAGACGCGAGACCTTCGGTTCTGCAGGAAACGCGCGATAACATCAGCACACTTAATGGTTTGATACCATTAGCGTCTCCATACCAACCACTGGCTACCTGCACGGTACACAAACTCCAGCGAAGGAGGTTTTACTCGCTGTTTCTTTCTAATAGGAACTCTTTAAAATCTAGGGAGAGGAAGAGGAAGAGAAGAGTAAAAGAAACAGAGAGTGATTCGCTCTAGCTCGACGATCAACACTGACCTGTGTGAGCGGACCTTGTGATTACGATCCTCGTCGAATCCTTCGCAGTTCTCCGTCACAGCTCTTGTCACAGTTGAATCGCGTGTTCTTCGACGTATCTCCTAGATGTGGGTCAAGTTCGCTCTCCTTTACGTGTGTCGCGTTCAGATTGCCCTCGCAGGTCGTAGGTCGTGGGAGTCCTTGGGTCGCCTTGTGCACACACAATGTGCGCACACCGGTTCTGCGAGAGAGGTCCTTACGTGCTTCCTTACAGCCGGCCGCCGAGTGCCGCGTGAGTGGACTGCTTACAAGGTTGCTTCGCCAAGTGGGCTTGGAGGCGAAACGCCTTATCTTCACGCTTCGGTTCGTTGACGAAACGCTTTCACGACCACGTATCCCGAGGAATACGCGAGGAGTACTACTAGAGTACCGGTCGGCGATCTCTTTTATTGCTATCGCCAGAGGCGGTAGAGTCGGCGGCGGCGACGGCGGCAGCGGCGGCGGCGGCGGCGGCAGCGGGGGCGGGGGCGGAGGCGGCGGCGGAGGCTGCCAATGATGATGATGATGCCAGAGAGACGTCAACGTGGTTCCAACGACGATATGCGTAAGTGGACTGGGAGAGAGGCTCAGCGACGCAGTGATTCCCATTTTGCTCGCGCTTTTTATGCTCCCTGCTGCTGCGCTCGTCATCCTGCACGAAGCGCCAAAAATACAGTTACGCACGATTTCTGGAAAGTCGTAATTGACGCGTTATCGCTGTGTCATTTTATCATTTAATTAAAAAAGATAACAAACAAAACGGCGAGACGAAGATAAAGCAATGCTTCATTTGGAAACTTATGGTCTTCGCCGGAACTTTCCTCGAGAGAGATGGACGAATCTGTTCGCCCGTTCAATTTCGCGTGAATTTAAAGGACATCATTGTCTTGATTGGAATCGGGCGAATTGATTTATTTATTGTCAGCGAGCGGTCGTAAGGTAAATTGAAAGATCTGGATCTCTCTGGATATCGCGTCTGCAGCAATCTGCTTCAAAAATAATGGGAAAAAATAATGGAAATAAAATAAAGATAAAAAATTGAGGGTATCGTGAGGTCACCGTTTAATCTTAGGAAATTAAATATTCAATTTCATGCAAATTCTCTCTCTCTCTCTCTCTCTCTCTCTCTCTCTCTCTCTCTCTCTCTCTCTCTCTCTCTCTCTCTTCCTCTACAATCGATTCTATAAGCGCAATTCATTCGGCCTTTCGCAAGGAAGTGCATCTTATCGCACTAATATTTTGTCATTGCGAGCTGTGAAACTTCATCGAATATTCAGATAAACGTACTTGCACGTCTCGACCCTGCGATAAGTGTGCGTTATATAGTTGTTTGTGCCAATCACAGTAGTCGGCTTAAAATCTGCGACGCTCGCTCGCGCGCGAATTTATGGCCGGAACAGTTCTTCGCCTACGCATAGTCTTGAATAAACGATGTGCCGGACGATGTGCGTCCTGGAAAAGAAAAAAGAATTTGGGTGTGTCAAGTGTGCGAGATCTGTGTAAGGGAGTTTTGACGATACGCAGAGAGAATTAACGCATTGCAAATGGAATTTCCGGACGAGCGACGGTCGAGTACGTATAGATTAGGACTCAAGTGCGTATAAACATAATACCTCAACATCCTTTCCAACAATTTCCTTGAAACGTCTCGTGGATATTCCAGAGATGTAATACCTGCATCATTAGAATAATATTACATTATGACATAATATTATTATTGGTTAATGGCTATTTATATAGTAATTTTTATATAATGATATAAAATAAGAATTATAACACAATTTACAAGTTATAACAATTACGTACATGACATGAAAATAACACGTGCGTAAAATAATACCTTTTTAGACGATATTCAAATAGACAAATTGAATTGCGATTGCGTGTGAAGCAATTACAGAACGCTTGCTATTCTCAATTACACGATCTAGTAAACCATACTTAAATGTTAGCCACAACGTCAACACTCTGTGTGATGCTTTGATGTACGTTCATTTTAGATGATCAGTAGTTTCCACAGATAACACTAACAGGTGGATAATTGGTAGCTCATTATAATAATTCATCAATGACTTATCTGTAGGATCTCACCTACGAGTAAATGCGAATGCACGACGATATACTTATTTACAATTTATATTTATATTCATTTCATTTATTTTCATTTATATTTATTATATTTCATTGTATTCGTCGGGTTGGGACCAAGTATTTCCTTCTGGAATATCTGGAATGAACCTGCATAGTGTAGCCAGAATTGTGCCGTTCTGTTTCAAATTATCGTGACAAATTGAGCCGCTACTGATCGTCGCGGTATACCTTGGCACGATAATCGTACAGGGATCGATCTACTTAGGATTCATGCAGGTGCCCTGGTGCTGGGCACCCGAGGAAGAAAACGACTTATCACCGAGCGGTTGCTTCACGTTGCAACTAGCTCTCCTGTAAGCAGTATTTGTACACACAACGATATAAAACGTCGCGACGTCGCGTGAAATATGGAGCGTTACGACGCGATAAAGTTTACCTGCCACACGGCTGGCTGCCTTCGAGCAGCTCGAAATCGACCTGCTAACTAACGCGAGTTATCGAAGTATCAATACGTTCTGAATTATACGAGCGATACAGGAGAGGAATAAACCGAGAAACGAGCGCGCGTCTCCACTCGCGAGCTCTAACGTCAGAAAAGTCAATAGCAAGGTCTCGCTTGAAAACTTCACGTTTTTAATTCGACGGAACTTTAATCTCGTGTCCATCCAACTGCTGACGCGATATAAAGGTCGAAAATATTTAAAGGGCTCAATTTCGGACGCAGTCAAATATACATTCCGTTTTATTCTTTTATCGGTCTTTATATCGAGAGACAATTTTCGCGCAACTTCTGCGTCGGTGCAATTTGCCGAATTCTCGATTCTCCGTCTGTTCCCTGCGGAGACATATGTATTTACATAAACATCCGCAGCGCAGTCATACGCATGTGATTCTGACGAGAAATTATCGCAAAATAATGTCGTGGTTGGCGGTTGCTGTTATTCGCCGGAACCGCGACAGATGTTGCCGTTGTGAGTCATTTTTGACCGGTTGACACTTCGCACGAACTTACGCTGCTCTCGCGTTTAATATGTGTATCGCGACAGCGATGTGCGCTGCGCGATGTGTGTTATGTGTCGAAGCGTAATTCCCGTGCGATACGGGAAGTTTGCACGATACGGGAGATTTTGTCAGCCAGTCGCCATTGTAATCTGTTTCCGCTCGTTAATGCTGCCGGACATATCGCGAGAAAGCACGCTTTTGTAGGAAGAACCAGCGTTCGGAACTTTTCGCTGGTTGAACAATTCGTACGGCTCGTATTACTTGAGATAGTACGGGCTTTGTTCGGGCTTTGTTCGCGTAACGATCGTTTGGATTTCGCAGGTTCGCTCGGTATACGCGGATATGCCTCAAACCTCTGGGTTCTCGAGTAATATTCAAGCAAGGAATGCATTGCGATAAAAGAGGGGGGACCTAACAATCAGCATTCAAGAATGAATGCTCGTACGACACGCGGGTGTGACGGAATTCGTCGAAAAATAAAGGACATGCGAACGAATGCAAAGGGTTTCCTCTCATATTTTTTCGATATCACCCTTTCTTGAAATTCTACTTTTCGTGCGAAAAGTGTCGATAATTTTTAAATTGTGAAGAAACTTGATAATGCGTCAGTTTTATTTGGAAGAACTCTCGAAGAACATCTCCCAGGCGAGTGAGCAAGCAAGATAAGACGCTTGAATGGAGACAGCCGATTAAAGCCGACGCATTCGTTGGAATCCATTGTGGCTTTTGGGATTAACCCATGAGTAACGTCATCATTGGTAATGAAAAGGGATAGGAAGGAATCGAAGAATTCGAGAAGGAATTCGCAAAATTTCCGTGACTAAATTTCCAATATTGTATAAATAGATTCCAATATCCTCTTAAGATTTTTCCGCTTCGTAACGGTAGACGGTAAGAATCAATGAATCGAGATGATTAATCAATGTTACAACTTTTCGCTCAATAATGCAAATGTTATATCCGTGGGTTGTACTACGCTTATATCGATCTCTCAGAGTGAGAAATTATATTGAAATAATGTTACTGCTAATTAACGCTTGCCGGCGTTAACGAATCGATGTTTGAAGAGTTTTCGTATCATGCATGAAATCATGTTTGTTAAATAAATTTTACGAGTCACGAACTTCCTCGCTGTCACTTTTAAATCTCGCTTGAATAACGGATTATTCCACAAGACTCATTCCGAGATTAGCGACAGTTTCCCCCTAATGACTAAAAGCAAACATATGAATAATGAAATATAAAGGACTTTTCGCAAACTGGGTGTACGAATAAACACAAGAATTTTAATGTCTGCTTTCAGACTTGAGAAATTTCGCTTTTCCGATTATTTAACCCCGATTTTATGGATGGATTGAAGATCAAAAAGTTTAGTTGCATATCTCGCTTAATAGCTTTCGATTTAATTAGTAAAATATGCACATACCTCGATATGTATGTATGTAGTAACCTCGCTTCAAAAAGTGTAAAAGACCACAAAGTATTGGACAAATGTTCAAATTTTTTAACGTTTGAACAACTGCGAGACGCGTTTAGAGCTGTGTTCCGAAACTCATCAAAAGAGAGTAACGTTCAATGTTCAATAGAAGAACATGCTTCCTAGAGATCCCAGATCTCTAGGAAATAAAACCTCCAAGCAGAGAGAAACCTGAGAGCGGCCAATTACGGGCTGATTATACCGGAACGCTTTTTCTGCCGAATTCCGACGCGCCCCCTGGAAAAATGTGTGCACACTACATCCGTCCTGACGGTAACGGCAAAGCGTGCACGGTTCTTGCTCACTCTATTTCCCTTTACAAGAGATGGTATGTGAAGCTGGGTACAGCACGAACGCGCGCATGAGGCAAGCTGAGGCCACACCGAATGCCTCGGATTGCAAAATTGAAGTCTCCGCGTGAAAACGCATTAGGCAAGTCGAGGAAACTGGTCGACGTTGCTCCGGTCGTTCGGAGTCAACAGAACTGGTGTAAACATGGAAGACAAAAATGTTGCAGTGGCATGTGCCAGTTTTATTGTTTTATATAATTTATTAAAAAAAAAGAAGAAAACGAGAAAACGAAGACGCTGGTGGTCAACACAGTTATATTTAAACAGAAGACGATTGAATAATGTAAACAGCATTGGTTTATCAAATGACTTGCTGGCTGACAAAGAAAATGATCGATTCAGAAACTTTGTTAGAATGGCAGAAGATGATTTCATTTTTCTTTTGAATGCCATCAAAGACAAAATATCGAAAAATGATACAACTTTTCGAAAAGCAGTTCCAGCTAAAGAAAGATTAGCCGTGACTTTGCGATTTCTTGCAACTGGCGAGTCCTTCACCAGTTTGCAATATTTATTTAAAATATCTAAACAATTGATATCGGAAATAGTTCCGGAAGTGTGCCGTGCAATAATTGATTGTCTCATCAGTTATATGAAGGTAAGTAAAAATATAACAAATACTGGTTATATATTTTATTAGTGACACTTATTTGAAATGTATTTTATTAGTGACACATTTGAAAAATATGAATTTAATAACGCAAATTTGTAGAATATAGTTTTATTATGTAACACATAATATAATTTTATTATGTATGCTGAGAATCATTGGTAGAATCAGAAACGTCTTGAAAATAGTTGGATAAAGGTGATTCGTTTTCTTGAGGAGATGCATAAGGCGAGCTGATATGACTGACAGGAGTGGATGACGTAGATGGTTGATTGTTAGAGTTTTGCGGAGTAGATGAACGGTTTGTTTGTTGAAAATTATTTGAATCTGAGAAAGATGTGGAATGTATATTTGTATAAATGCTAGGATTTTGATATAAATTCATTTCTAATACAAATAAGACGTTGCAAATTCTATTTTGTGCAATAGCACGGACACGATTATCAAATGTACGTAGTTTATCCGCAATGTAATCACCGAAAAGGCTACATTGGTCTTTTCGTTGCTGTGAAACTGCTGCTGTTTGTCGCAGATATCCTAAAGCTTCCACAATTGTTGGATCCTCGTCAGTCCTTCTTTGCTTCGTGGGACGTTTCTTCGGAGACTTAAACTTCTTATTCTGAGTTTCATCTGTTACTTGCTTCACAGCTAATGTTTGCGAATTATTCGATTCTACGTTGATCTGACTGTTTTCTTTTTTTTCGTCCAAGTTCTCATGCAATGTTTCATTATTAGTTTCTTCGTCGTCGGATACAGTCTGCAAATTCTATAAGAATAAATAAATATATAAATCAATGCATTTTGAAATTCTTTAAATTTGCTGCACATTTGTGTAGACTATAAATTTTATAGACTAAATTCGAGAAACTTTTATTTCTTCAATTTTTTCAGATGCCGTCAACTCCAGACGAATGGAAGAAAATTACTAAAAAATTCGAAGAAACATGGAATTTTCCGCAATGTATAGGAGCTATCGACGGAAAACATATTACTTTACAAGCTCCGATAAATAGCGGAAGTGACTTTTATAACTATAAATCCCAATTCAGTATTGTTCTGATGGCTGTAGTAGATGCTGATTATAATTTCATATTCGTTGATATTGGCTGCCAAGGACGTATTTCAGATGGAGATGTATTCAAAAATTGTGAACTGTATAAAAAAATAGAGAATAGAAATTTAAATGCACCTGAGCCTTCAGCTCTCATTGGAAGAGAAATGGAAGTTCCTTATGTATTATTAGGAGACGCAGCCTTTCCTTTGAGTGATCATATAATGAAACCCTATAATGATATTCACCCAAGCGGATCTCCAAAACGTATATTTAATTATCGTTTATCTAGAGCACGCAGTGTTGTAGAAAATGCCTTCGGAATTGCATCTAGTGTCTTTAGAGTTTTACAAAAGCCAATGCTTTTAGAGCCACACAAAGCAGAATTGATTGTGATGGCTGTCATATACCTTCATAATTTTTTACGGAGAAGTAAATCCTCCACAAATATATATACACCACCAGGTTTTTTAGACACAGATCTTAATGGACATACGATACTTGGAAGTTGGCGAAATGATCAACAGGGAATGGAGTCTCTTTTGCCTTTGAAAAATGTACCTTGTAAGACAAAATTAATTGCTCAAGAAATAAGAGAGGAATTTACTGACTATTTCTGTACCACTGGCAGAGTACCTTGGCAAAACCAATATGCTTGAATAAATTTCTTATATGAAAATACCTTGTCAATAAAATATCTTATCCCAACTTTCTATTTCTTTCAATTAAAGTACTTACACTTAGAGTCTTCCGAGGCTCATCTTTATCTTCCAAAAATTGTAGAGTTTCATAAGCGAACCATTTTGATTTATAAATCTCACGTCGTCCTGCAAATATATGTATTCTTTAGAAAATTACTTTTTATTATCTTCCAATGTCTCTCTTTACTTACCTTTTCCTGTTCCTATACTTGTTTTCACTCGCGCCTTTTCCCGTCTATATGAACCTTTTAAACTTTCAATTTTTTTTTTTACTTCTTCACTGTTCTTTCCAATTTTTTCAGAGAGTTCCTTCCAAGCATCTTCTTTCTTCACTTTGTTATAATATGCAGAATCCCGCGGATTCCATAAAACTTCTCTATTTCTATATTCGTTTATTAATTGCATGCATATTTCTTGGTCCCATTCCATTACTACAAAATACATTCATTTAAAACAATATATGTATTGTGTGTATATATGTGTGTGTATGTATACATACACATATAGGGTGTCTCAGAACTCTTGACAACGCTCGTGAAGGCGTAGAGCGGATTAACCCCTTGTCCTACAACAACGAGTGAGACTCGTGGTAAGAAATTTGGGCCAAAAACAATGAGCACGAGCCTGACTCGTGGTACTTTGTTCGGACCAAACGTAAACAACACGAGGCCTGGCTCGTGGTACTTCATTCGGGACAAACATAAACAACACGAGTCAGACTCGTGGTTCAGTTGTTCTCGATATTTTCTTACTTCAGTTACGTGTAATTCTTCGTTACGTTCACGTCACGTTTAGGTTATAATTCCCTAAAAGAATTAAACAACCCTTATACCTATCATGTCAGTAAAAAGAAAATCTAATATCGATGATAATTCCTTTCGTTGCGCCGAAATACACGTGTCATAAGACGCATATATTTTGCGCAAGTTCGAGCACACGGCTAAACAGCTAAATGGCTCGACGCGTGACCGATCTTCTTGTTTATTGTGGCCCGAGCAATCGGGAGTTAGCGGGTAGGACAAAGGGTTAAGCAGAACATAAAAATCTCACATTTTACGATATTCGTGATAATTATTAAGATATTAATTAAAAAAAGATTAATTAAAGAAGATTGATGTATTATTGCGCACAGTCATACACTAACCTTTTTTAATTAATAACTACAAATTTACGTGATTATTTGCAAAGTAATAGGACCTTTTTGTTCAATTTAGTCTGATACACAAATACACAGCAGTGAACGTCTCTATCACAGCTCTTCTACTATATGGCGTGTGACCATTAACACATATTTTTATTATTAACTCAAAATTTCACGTACCTATTCGTAAAATAATAGAGGAATTTTTTGTTCAGTTTGATCTAATCTGTCCGTACACGCTGCTTCGCGAGTTATCGGACACTCTGTATATATTTTCTGCATTTATTACACTTACTGCAAATAATTTATTAAATTTTCCTAATTTTTCGCGTTGTGCGCGGCTATCCTCTGTACGCGTGCTCGAATGCGTCCAAACTGAGCACGAATTATCTTTGATGGACCGACAGCGCTCGGCTCGGTCCGAGCCCGTGCGGCGAATCATCCGAGGCAATCTGCCGCACCTCGAACGTCCATACTTGCATGCTCATGCGGCCTCGGCTTGCCTCGGCATGCGCGTTCGTGCTCAAGTCTATACCCAGCTTTATACCCGTCTATACCCGGCTATAGTCAGACAAGCACAGACGATCAATCGCTCTCCGTCTTTGTCGCACCACCGACGAGAGAACGCGCGGCAGAAGGAGGCACGAGGCAAGTCAGCGGTAGATCTTATCGCTAAGTCAAAATCTCATTTCTCCCTCCGCCTTGACCCTTCAACTCTCGTTTTCACGCAACGCACTGCCCGCAATTCGGGAAAAAATATTTCGAAACCGCGCGGAAAACTTCCAGCAAATGACACAAAATGACGCCAATAGTGATGGCCATTTCTGTGATTTTTATATTGAATTTTTTCATTTTTTTTATTCAATTTTTTCATCGTCTTTCCGAGATCAATGCGAAAATGAAGGGTCACCGAGGATCATAAGATAATTATTTGTGACAAGACGTTAATCTAGATTCAAAATAAGGATGATTCGAGCAAATCGCATCGAGTTGTGATAGCACGTTTCGAAGTTAGAAGGGCGAAAAATTAGAAGACACGAAAATTTGAAAAGTGACAGACCCAAAAATGACGAGTCATTAAATGTTAATTAACGAAATATGAGTGATAAGGTATTAATCTAGACCCAAAATAACTAAGATTCTCATAAATTGCAACGACGTGCGCCTACGCGTTATCGAGAAATTGAATTAAAGCCGATAGGTCAAGATTGACCGATGCGAAAATCACGAGTCACCAGTTATAAGCTTATTTGCTATAAAATTATTTGCTATAAGACATTAATCTAGGTTTGAACTAAGATTGATCCGCGTCGAGCTGCCATCACGTGTTTCGGAGTTAGAGGCCACAGAAGATGGAAAAGTGGCTCGGAAATAAACTGTGATGAAATATTAATTATCGAAATATGGGTGATAAGGTTTTAATTTAGGTAATTATACAGAATTCCTTCAATGTCGACGAAAAAATATTTAACCGACGAGTTTTTATAAGACAAACAACTTTTCTAGTTGATAAAATCGTCGCTCTGCCTTGTGGAGCGAGATATTAATTGTTAAAGTTGACGGCAATTTGGTTTAGGAAATCTATTACGAAAGTGACAGATAATAAAAAATGAATTTTTGCCTTATTAAAAAGATGGGCCTACAATATACTAAGAAGGTATAAAATCAAATACAATTATATGCAATTAAATATAATTAGATACAATTAAAAAATCAATTAAAATGATTTATATTTATATATTTTATATTTATATTTTTATTGATATTTGAGATATATTTTATATATTTATTTTTATTTCTGTCATTTTTATACATTATCTCATTTATACTTACTATTTCAGCTATGTCTACCTCTTCTTTTATTTTCTTTTAAATCTTTAGCCTTACTAAAAAGATGAGTCTATAGTATAATAGAAATAGATACAGAAAAGATTAGCAAGGCTCCTATAGAAAGGAAGATTAGGGAAAGGAAAGGAAGATATGCAAAATGACTATTTCCGGAACATTTTTTAGGTTGAAAAATAGATTGTTAGAGAATAGTTTTAGTTAAATTGGACAGATAGAAGACGGTTAAGAGATATCGTTGCTTATCTGCAATGAATTAATGTGTGAATTAGATACTGGTAGAGAGAAATTTGGACATAAATCATAGGATTGACCCTTTTTTTATTATACATTTTCTAATTACTAGAATGGTTTCTCACGTCAAATTTTTCGACCTTATAAATCTCAATGATTGCTCTTATATTTCTCTCTAATACCAGTTAAAAACATAAATATTATGATTATAATTTTCTTGAAATTCTGATTTTCCAGGATAAAAGACTTAAATTTCAGGACACAGGACAAACTTCAAAAAATTCCAGGACAACCCCAGAAATCAAGGCCATCTGGTAACTCTAGGGAGCATGTATCATAAATCAGAAATAGAAGAATGATAGCATGTGTTATCTTATTATGTAGAACTGATCTTGTTCTTCTTGTTATATAATAAAATAGTATATGCTATGATTCTTCCACTTTTGATTCACAATATATCCTCCCTTTCGTAGGGGCTTTGCTAATCTTTTCTGAATTCATTTTTAGTATATTGTAGTATTGTAGTGTAATTATCTTTTTAGTGAAGCAAAAGATTTAAAAGAAAATAAGAGAAGTAGCAGACATAGCTGAAATAGTAAATGTAAATGAGATAATGTGTAAAAAGACATAGAAATGAAAATAAATATATAAAATATATTTCAAATATCAATAAAAATATAAGTGTATAAATATATAAATATAAAATATATATTCAGTTATATCTGTCACTTCTTTTATTTTTTTTTAAGTCTTTCGCCTTACTAAAAAGATGAATCTACAATATAGTAAAAATGGATACAGAAGATTAGCAAGGCTCCTACAAAATGGAGGATATATCAAAAGCGAAAGAATTATAGCATATGCTATTTTATCACATAACAAGAGGAATAAGATCAGTTCTACATAATAAGATAGCACATGCTACATTCTTCTGCTTCTGATTCATGATATATTGTGTAGGGGCCTTGCTAATTTTTTCTGCATCCATTTTTAATATATTGTACACTCATCTTTTTAGTAAGGCGAAGATTTGTTTTTTATTATCTGTCACCTCCGTGACAGATTTCTTAAACCAAATTGCCATCAACTTTAACAATTAATATCTCGCTCCACAAGGCAGAGCGACGATTTTTTCAAATAGAAAAGTTGTTTGTTTTGCAAAAATGCGTCGATTAAGTATTTTTTCGTCGATATTGGAAGTGAGGAGGGTATTCTATATATATATATATATATATATATATATATATAATTACCCCGAATTGTTATAGTGTAATGTACATAAAATTAACTTACCCCTCGATGGTTCCTGATGTCTCTCCTTGCAAAATATATCCTCGGGCACTCAATATTTTTCACAACACAAACATTAATTTTGCATAATAACAGGTCATTATTTTTCACAATACGTGGTCGCAACACAAATCTTGAGCAACAAACGCGCGTAATTTCACTCGGCACTACCGACGATCCGGTTTCGTTAATTATTTTCGACTACTTGACGATATTTCGCCATGACAAATGCAAGAAATGTGCTTTCGGCACTCTCGACGAAACAATACACGCTGATATTCGCGATATTTGGTAATTCAAAATCGCGGAAAATACGCACGGTCGGCTTTTGAAATTCACTAAGCATTGCAATGCACAGTCGCGATTTTCAATGTGTGTGTATGCGGTGAATACGTATCACTAGCGTACTAGCCAATCAAAATATTCTGTTCGAAACCGTTCGTTGCGTTTGAAATATATAAAAGAAGTCAGCCATGACAGAAAAATTTCCCGAAACTTTACTCGACCCTCCCGACGAACAATGCACATTTTCAGCGAATATTTAACGAAAGCTGTGCCATATCTCGATGTTTAACGATAATTCGCGGCCGAGACTCGCCTGATGAGTCAAAAACGAAACTCCGCGACGCGAAAACCGAGCTGCCCTTACACAGCTGGCGCTCTGAACTTTCCTTGGTATTCCGACGATTCATCTCACTTCACTTCGCGCGGCGGAATGAACATCTTTCCGCCATAACACACGCGCGAAACTTACTTTCGGTACTCCCCGTTACGATTTAAGGCATGAGACTCAGCTACGGCGAGTCAAAATCACGAGAAATTACGAGCGGCGGTTTCGCGCACACAAAACAAACCGGACCCTGCGCCATAAATAAATACGAGGCAACTGCGGACAGCGCCACAAGCGGGATACTCGGGAAGCTGAGTCGACCAATCGCGGTGATTCATTTCTTTCCGTAGTGGAACTATTTATCTGCACAAAGTGTACGAGGTGCGGGTGAAAGCAGTCGATGATCGATTTAAAGCCAGCGGCACACGGTGCTTGTTTTCGTGCTGGATTGCTTGCTGGATGAAAATACTGCGTTCTGATTGGTGCATTTCCATCCATCTTCGGAAATGTACCAATCAGAACGCAGTATTTTCATTTAGCAAGCAATCCAGCACGAAAACAAGCACCGTGTGCCGCTGGCTTAAGACAGTGATGGTACAATCTGATGCAATAACCGGACCGCTTTATTACATCCTATTACATCCGACTGTATTGTAAATAAAATTATGTGCAGAGAGAAATCTAAATCACACTAGCAATTGCCGATTGAATTACGATTGCGATTGGCGATTAAAATAGAGCATTATCTAAATATCATCAATTTCAATCGATACCTGTTTTGCCCTGATTGGTTGAAAAGTAATCGCCAATCGTCAACCGCAATTGTAATCCAATCGGCAATCGCTAATGTGATTACGGCTTATGGTTTAACTAGACTGGCTAATGGTAAATTTTACCCGGGTCACATCTGAAGAAGAAGAAGAATACGTTTGTGTTATGTGAATTGCTATATAAATATTTTTATATTAACAAAATGAATATTACATTATATTCAGCATAAAAATTATTTGAATTTGTTAATAGAACATATGATATGTCTTTAATGACTTAATTAACGTGGTTTATGTAAAGTATTGGGAAATAGAATGTGGAACATAACAAGATTATTTAATAATTTTATTAAACATCAGAAAGCGCAGGTATATATTTATATATTTGTAAAATATGATGAAAAATTTACTAACACAGAAATTTTTAAAAATCTTGAGAAAGTATTTAGAATATTGTGTTACAATTAGATATAAATTAAATAAAGCTGTTTTATATACAATTCTCTCATTCTGTTTTATACATAAATATTGACATTAATTAATATTGTTTTTATATATGTTAATAATATCTACTTTTATATATTAATATAACCTCTTCTGCTTTCTTGCCCTCCAATGTTTTATTTTTTTATTCGTAGGTTAGTAAACATTGGGGACCAAGCGCAATAATTTTCAAGATGAATAGTACAGATGCAGACGCTATTGACATAAACTTATCTTCAGAGGAAAAAAACAAAATTCTTGACATAATTAATTATCAAAATATAGAAGATTTATTGCAGTAAGTTATGTTTTTGTGGAAAGATTTCTTTATCTTATTGTTGTAATATATTGTAAACATACTTCTTATCAACTTTTGATTATATATTTTATAATTATGTACACAAAGGTATTCTATTACTAAACAACGTGCGCAGAGTTTAGAAATTTATCGTACGAATAATGGACCATATAAGTCACTGGAAGATTTATTAAAAGTAAAAAGTATAAGTGAGAAAAGTTTACATAAATTTTTGAAATCAATTATAAATGGTGATAAGAAAGCTTCCAAAAAAATTACTTCAGGTTTGGTCATAACACCAAAAGTTGCTAATGGCAACCAAAAGGTAAGAAGGCTAAATTTTATTTTAATTTTTTCATTAAAAAGCAAAGTATATGTGCATTATGTATATAAGAAAAGATCAAAAAACAAAGTACATAGTTTGAAAGAGAAAGTAGAAGTTTTATCTTTATTTTTTAAATACATGTATCAAAATAAAGTTATTATTTTTTTTGCATGATGTCTGATGATATTGATAGTGTTGTCGTTACATGTTTTTTCTATATTTAACACTTTATCTAAATATGAGATATTGCAGGATGTCAATACAATATTAGGCATACATGTGGGACAGGACATAATAAGCTGGTCATTATTAAATCGTGATTGCGAAGTATTGCAATGGTGCTATAAATCTTTTACACGCAGTGGCACAAAGGAGAATCTTCATTCCTTACTTCAAGCGGTAAACATTAAGATAACAAAATTAAATTTTATAAAATCATAAAGTTTATTAAACCATCTCAGATTATTTAACATCAATTTCAAAGTGTGTTTGTTATATAATATAATTGTAACTATTCATCCTTTTTTCATTCAGACATTACCGATCGCCGCAAAACTTCCGAAAGCCGATCGATATGTAATGCAGGAGTCTGGCGGTAATAGGTTTCGGAAAAACGGAAAAAGGCTTTATCAAGCCTGCATTGAGCAATCTGTGATAAATGCCATTATCCTGACGCACCTCGCAACACTGAATTCTAAAAGAGGTAGAGAGGAAATGATTACGTACTCGAGCAATTATATTGATGTTAGAACCAAGGTGGAATAATAATTCGTTCGTCTCTGAAACGATAAATATTATGTTTGTCGAAAATAAATCCGGTTAAATCTGCTGTGTCGGTGGAAAGATATTACATAATCAACATAACATCTGTTTTGCAGTCGCAATTAAATCTTATCTAACCAGTTGTTCCAACACTAGTGACTCGTGTTTATTACGAGACGAAAAAGAGAGAATGTCTTTCTAATAAAATTACGTTATAAAATTTTCAGACATTGATGACTTTGTAACGAACAATATTTTTATACTTCGTCAGAATATCTTGCAAAAGGTTTATGGACTCGTGGTTGGAAACGAATGTGTATCTACTCAATATATGATTCAAAGATTATTGGAGGAAAATGAGAGACTGCTGCAAAACAAGGAATGCTTACCTTCAGTGCACATAAAGCCGGAATTTCAAGATATGTACAAGGCGCTAAGTCCCATCAATAAAGAGCAAATCAGTTGGTCATTATTGATAGCATTGGCTTTCGCAGAATTAATTGTGCATGAGAGAACTGATATGAAAATTCGTAATTCTTTTTAGGTAATAAAATGTGTTGTGTATTGTTATCTGATAATTTTTATCAGAAGCCACCATGATCATAAACACGATGATATCAACACATTTATAATAAATACATTTTGCGAGTTGGCTGTAACTTGAAAAATAACTTTCATTTCAGAAATTAGAATACAATAAGTGATCAAGAGGAGGAAATCGTGACAAATAAAACGAGCTTCAGTCACTGAGCGATGGAAGTTTAATATTTTTTGTTTCTAAATTACAAGAAGAACATTGATTTAGTAGTTGTATGCATTTGGTTATTTTGTCTCATAAAAAGAAGAGAATTTATTTACAAAATGAAGCGAGGGTGTGTGAACGTGGCGAAAATCACCGATGGCAATAATAAATACGGTAAACTCCTGTACAGATTCATTCATTTATTATATCCTCATGTCTCGTTACGTACTATCTGTTTGTAGTATATCAAGTGTATATTGTTGCTCGCTGCTCGGATACAAACTCTCGCGTCGAGTTGTCGATTCAGATCAAGCCGTTCGGTGTTTACCGCAAAAATAGAGGATCGCTCGGCGCTTTCGCGAACGGCCGAGTGAGCGTACGAGAGAGGGAGAGAAAAAGAGAGTGAGACGTGGAGCTCGGTGTCTGTGTGCGTGTGTGTGCATGTGTGGCTGTCTTCGCGGATGCGATACCGAGAAGAGTTCCCCGATGAACCGAATGCGCAGAATTCTTCGCCGGAATTCTTCATCGCCATTGTCGAAATGTGCTCGATACACTCCGATACTCGAAGCATGACTTTGTCAAATATAATACGGCTACACGGAGCTACATTGAACGCCGTAACTCGACAATCCGGCAGTGATGCAGTGCGACAAGCGTATTATCCTGCGTGGGCGTTTAACGTCAACTAATCAAGCACAAGAGAAGCACATTGATATATGAGAGTGACTTTTCGGCGAGAGACTTTGCTTTACGACCGCGTCTTAGGCTCCATCGGAAATACGCAGACTGATGTTACGTCAAGATCAAACTTTACTCATGATGAGAGACGTGCGTCCACGTAGTGGAATGTCACGGAGAAAGGATGGAAGCCGTTTGCGAGATGACGTCGCGATCATAAAACCCGAAGTGACACACCGCGTGCGGAACGAAATTCAACTTTGGCAACGTTAACGCTAGGACTACCGAGAGCGATCGAAAATGACGGGTTTCTGAATTCTTGTACAATTTACTCAAGTTTACATAACAATACATTTTACACTTTTCAATGGACGTTAAATACAATGAAAAGAAATAAATAATATTCATTCGCCCTTGCGTAATGTATTTTCTTTTTTTTAAATCAGCCATTTCGATCGCTTGACCGGTGGAAACAAGTCGCTTTAATCGCCGGTAGTTTCTAGCGTTTCTAACAAGGAAAAAGAAGAATCACCACTTTCTCTCCTTGAAGAAGCGACGTTCGTCACCAAAGTTAGATTCAGGATTTCACACGCGGCGTGCCGCTTTCTTTTTATTATCTAATCTAGTCTACACAGTTACACGCACGTTCGAACGAACACGAGATAAAATATATATATATATATATATATATATCAGCGAACAACACAATGAAATCGCCGCTTAGAAATATCAAGGAAACAAAGCATCTGCTGCTGAGCGTACAGAAATCTTTAGTAAAATCTCTTTACTTCTCTCGATATATTAACAAATTATATATGGACATATACATCTGCGTCATATATCGTACAATAAATCGTGCGTTTGCATGCGGATCTCTCGATTAACTTTTGGATCGCATCGCTGCCAGAGACTGTTCAACACATTATAATTATTACGAATGATACCCGATCAGACCAGCTGGAAACGAGTGTCGACATATATACTGATATCTTTTTTTTTCTTTTAATATATGTATATATGCATAATATATATATACCTAACAACTGTGTACATAATATATACTATATATGTATATATATATATCTAAATGTATGTATGCACATATGTGTGTGTGCGTGTATATATATACACACACATATTGCACACATCGCGAAACGAAAAGGGGCATTAAGTACGTACATCATACTATCTCATAATTTACAACACGGTTTGTCGTAAATAGAAACGCTCCTACGCATGCGCATATATGTATAAAATCTATTCAGCTTAAATATACAATTCCAGCAGGGAGGCGGGCGGGACGGGCGTCGCGCTCCACAAGCGATATTATCGGATGTGCAAAACGATGCGATTTGAGCGGGTCGCGTCGAGCAATATATAGAGACGTGAAAACCCTCGATGCGCTCATACGTAGAACATAAGAGTCGTGACTATAACGGAACAGTCGTTTTTTGTTTTTTTTTTCTTCAGAGGCACGTCGACGTAAAAGTTGAACGATCTCATCCGTAATCAATACTACTTAATCCAATACTGATCATATTATAATGGACTCTTCGTTTTTTATCGAAACAACGGGTTTCGTTAGAAATCAAATAGATCAACATATCTATATATCACATCGTCTACAATAAATATTATCATCTAATAAATCAATGTAAAATCTGCTCGAAACAAGCTATATCGATTACTTCGCACAACGAGGACTGTGCGTGTCCCCTACGGGGAGGGGGGGTCTCCCTTTCTTCTCTTCTTCTTATGAAGTCACAAAGTAACGGGTAATATCGACACATCAGGCGGACACACGTCGTCGAACGAGTTACACGAGCTTAGAGGATACTTCGCAGTGCGTTTCAACATGATTTGCCGCTTTTCAAGCAGCGCGTGCTTGATAACTCATCCGAGAACTCGCTATAGGATCGACTTCTTAAACGTCGCTAACTTGGAACACAAAAGACCGTTCTGCGATTTGTGTTATCCGCATGTATATAATATACGTCACGCTTCAAGCAACGTGTACACAGACACATTTCGAGAGGCTAATGTATACTCTAAATTTATTAAACATTTATTACACAATTAGAAAGAGTGAAAGAGAGAGAGAGAGAGAGAGAGAAAGAGAAGGAGAGTGCCTTCTCTTTATCATACTTTGGTTCAAAGACGTAATGGAAAGCGACGGGAGTACACGCAAAGAGAGAAAGAGAAAGAGACAGTGGTACTTTGGAACATCCTAATTTCTCGTGTCCGCATATTCGTTTTTCTCCTTCCTCGTCTTTCGTCCTATATTCGTGCGACGTCTGCGACGCGTTAAGTGTCCTGCCGTCATTGTCGGCTTTGATGGTAAAAGAACGAAATTTCAACGTATAATCCCCTCTCGTAAGAAAACACTTTGGTATCATTGACGTCCGAAAATGAAGGGGAACGAACGATAAGATTCGGTCGAGGCCGAAGGACTCTTGTTGTTGAACAACAAGTTCGAACGATTCTAAGGAACAAAGAGCGAAATGTGAAAACGTCAATTCTCATTTTTGCAATACGAGCCTCGTTCGCATTCACCGGACAAGTTGTCGGCGTGCGATCGAGTTTGGAACCCGAATTGTTATCCTCCGCGTTACAAAAGCACGCTCCGAGAATCGAGAGATCGCACTTTGAGGAAAGCCTCTCTCACGCGTAGGACAAGCACTCGCACAAAGTTCGTCTGCGGCGAATATGTGAATGATGACACTTGAAATCGCATGAACACCGATCAGAAACAGCGGAGTCATTCGTCATCGTTGATCGCGATACTTCGCGTTCTTTTTTCCCATTTCGCGGTGAAGATGTACACGTCGGCGAGGAGAAACTCCGCCGGGGCCCGGCGGAGAGCCATACACGAGAGAGAAAGTATACGAGGAGAAAATCAGCCGCAAGCTCAATCGCTCAGTGTGTGAAATTGGTTCGATGGCGGGGGTGTGCATTGTCACACGCACGATGATATTGCTAACGCGTAACGACGTGTGCGTACATTCCGACACGGCCGGACACGTCGTTGAACGTCGTCGCGTTGGACTGAAACATAAATTATGCGTGGGAGATAAACGGTAAGTGTTACTGGCGTATGTATCGTGGATACAGTGAACGCGCGGTCAATTCGCTGACATTTTTTTCGCTCGATACACGCTACATTTGGTCGGAGACATTCCTCTACGCCACGTGTCGCATTGGACTAGAATCGCGAGATAGTTAACGTCGAGACGAGCGCTCCGGGTTGTCTCAATTATCCGTGACCGGAAACGCCTGAACATCTCGAAAGACTCGACCGATGGATAAAGAGGGAGAATCGAAATTTCCCCTGAAGAAGAACTTCCTTCTGAGCTTAGGAGTCTCGAGAAGCATTAAATTCGACGTACAACGGCTGTAGGAAGCTTTTAGCTTTTTGCCGAAATTTCAAAGTTCGAAACTGTTATGTAATTTCTGACAGGATGCCTTTACCGAGCGTTGCTGTAACTTCCGGCGGCGCAGGAGACGCCTTCTGCCGGAAATTACGTTACAGTTTCAGACTTGGAGCAAAAGAGCCGCTACATCCGTTGTGGACAACGCGTTAACGTTCATTGGAAGCTTCGAAGAAGCTGAAAACGTCTCGCACTCGAGATAAAAATGATTTCCCGCGTATTTCAATGAAACGCCACGTGATATTTACAATAAATAGTACCTTACTCGTGCGAATATGAATCTGTCTCCGTCGTTTCGTCGAAATCTTTGATGCTCGAGAGATTATCGAGGATTCTCAAAGGTTGCACGAGTTTTAGATTCGTTAAAACTGTCGAGAGTCCTTCGAGAGATATTCAAGGCCTTCCGCAGATCGTCGCTTCCACAACTCGAGGCTTGAGACTCTACGGTAGCTGAGGAAGGAAGAATGAATTCCTCCCCGCGAACTCAAATCCCGTCGCTGAACGTAAAGCGCGCGAATACACAAGTTCAGAGACTTCAACGAACTCTACAGCGTCTCCCTTCGATCACCCGGCATGGATCTTCCCTCCCTTTTTTCATCCTTTTCTTTCTTTTTCATTTTGGAAGTAGAAAGGCGAAGATATATCCCTCCCAGTGGCACAGTAAGGCGTACTCTCCTCTTCTCTACTACATTCTACTATTACTACCACTATTACAATATTCATCCATAGGATATATTTCGGTGTGTATTGCATTACCTTCAGAGACGATATAACATGAATAATACAACTATCGGCGGCAAAGGAGTATAAACTATCGACGATGCAACATAAATTAACAAATTGTCGACTCGATCGTCATAACGCATATACACGCACACGAGCACGTTCATACACACACACACACGCGCGCGCGCGCACGCACACACACACACACACACACACACACACACCACACACACACACACACACGCGCGCGCGCGCGCGTATACGACGTACTCACGCATGCACACTAACATGATACAATACACACGCGCATACGACGCGCGCACACACACACACACACCACACACACACACGCACACACACACACATACGCATACAAAGGGAGACACGCAACACATGTAAGACGAATCATATAGTACATACATACAGTAATGCGAATTGGATAGACTCCTAGCTTCAATACTTTATACTTAATTTCACCGAATGTAACCTAACACAAGTAATAAGTACTTATATGCGTATCGATTTTAGTCAATGTGCGAATAACTTTTTTTTTTCGTTTCTTTTTACTTCTATGCGTTTTTGTTCTTTTTTTTTGCTTTTCTTTCTTTGCAAACGCTTCGGCGTGTTTTCTTGTGTGTCCAACAATGGTCGCGTCGCTTTATTGTTGTCTCTGGGAATTTCCGTCGTATTAACTGAATGTATATGCAAAATAACGTCGGGCCGAGTCAATTAAAAGTGCAATCCCACCAATTTAATGTCTCACTCAATTCGTGAACGATCACGATATATATCCTTCGTTTTTTCTTCTCCTTGATCTTTTTTTCTTCTCGTAACGATCTACGAGAGAGGAATGAAATATTCAGTCGAAAATAATATCACAGCCTGGAGACACAGTGGAAGACTAAAGACGTCTGATATTACACGCAAAATAGACAATAGTTTTCAACCGTGAACGTTAAAAGTGTGAATCTTCTCCAGATCTGGCTGGTCTGATATTTTTCTTCTGTTAAACGTTGATTTACTCGCTTGAACGCAACTGCGCGCGAGATTCGGCTCGAATTGGCACGCGCGACGGACCGAGTCGCGCGTTAAATGAAGAGAGAGAGAGAGAGAAAGAGAGAAAATAAAAGGCAAAACGAACAAATTAACGCAACGCGAGATGTCGCACGAAGAATCACTAATAGCGCTATTACGACTAACAATTCTAATTGTCACCAACAAGCCTCCTCATTTAATCTCATTTTCCATACTAGTCTCCTCTTTCTCCCTCGCACGATTATGATATTATTAAAAAGAAAGCCCCGTGTGTCGCGCATCGCGATGTTTCGTAGTTTCGGTCGCACAATAAATTACGCACGATTCACGCAATAAAAAGTGTTGCTTGATTACTTTGACCGAGCGTGACCGTTAGGAGGAGATCGCGACGATGGCACACGGTCGTAAAAAGTGACTAGCATTCGCACTTGTTCGTATAACAATCGAATCGAGTTCCAGAGTGAACTTTCCTATCACGACGACAGACGTATATCGTTTACATGTATATACACACACACACACACACATATATGTGTGTGTGTGTGTGTGTATATATATGTATAACGTGTATATCGTACGTACACGTAATAAAAATAAGTTGACGGATTTTCATTGATCGATTTCGTTACCACGATTTATCGGCGAGACACACTTGAATGTGACGTTTGCTTGACACGCGTCACGGATCACCACGCTGAAATTCACGTTTTGTTCTTTTCATTTCCACGCGAACGACGACATCTAGACAGCATAAATGTCTAAAAGATGTCTCACTCATTCCAGATATCTTTCAGACGTCTGTAAAACGTATTTGAGACATTCGTGTTATCCGGCTATCAACGAGCACTACCTCGCATTATCGCCGAGCAATTACGTAAAACGTGTCTTTCTTGCATTGTTCGTAGCGATCGTATTTGCACATGTGCAGCGAGTCGTTGTAAGTGTGCATTTCTCTTTCAACATCATTTTTGCGCGTATACACATGTATATACACGCAGGCATGCGAAGCCCGTTGCACACGACGAATGCTTGCTCGCCTCGCAACGCATTGCTACGCATCGCTACGCGTCCGCGCGCCTAAGCCAAACTTAAGACTCGCTAATCTTGGATTCTCTACGCGTGTAGTAGAACGTCGTTCTAAATCCGAAATAGAATGCGTTTGTACAAGTCTGGCAATCGCGTTATCGATCTTTCGACGGTAAACAAACGAGTCTTGTAGATCGCTGATTCTACTTGAGGTGACATCTTAGCGTGACGAAAGTATGCGAGAAAAACTGCGCGGCGCGCTTCAACGGTGTTGTAAATCAACGAAATAAAGTATGTGCCTACCTTCTGAGACTTGGGAGTAAATCTGTGCGATTTTAGAATATGATTGATATTTTCTCTTAAATAGGAAGCTATAGTAGTACGAAATACTATAGTACGAAATACTGTGTGCGTCCTAATTTACTTCGATCATAATTAATTATAAGTAATCCCTCTGAAGCGTCCTCGCCGATTTGGCTGAAACTCACATATCTTGTGTCTTGTGCGAAGCGTAAAAGTTGAGTCAAAACACGTGAGACATGCGGATTACGATGAAATCATCGATGACGCCACGGAGAGATTCATCTAATTATGCCCGATTAAAAGCCATCGTAAACATAAGCAACGATTGTTAATAAAATACTCCACACAGAGAAGTAGTAATTGTAACAAAAAAAAAATGGAATGAAAATACTATTACAGGTGGAGAATATTAAATATATTATTGTGCTTAGAAATTATTTTATCGCGAACGTGTGCGCCGCGTGTGTGACGTGTGTTGATGTAGGCTTATGTGCGTATATTCACTCGTAAAGTGCGGTTTGCGCGTCTAATAAATAAATTATAACGAATCATTGAGAAAACGTTGATTGTCGAATCTGATATTTTATCAAGATATCATTTCTTGTGTGTGCTGAATGTGGAGGTATCAAAGAGTTGTACAGTTCCCCGTCTCTTTTACTCTTTTTTTTTTTTTGGTTCAACGACGGCAATATGTTACTTTCATTATCTCTGGGAGAGTGATATGCATATTATAGGTATTTTCTCTAATATTCCCGTGAGATTCGCCTCAACGCGTAATTGTTAAGCAATCGTTTCTCTTGCAAATCTAATTCAAGAGGGGAGAAGGTCGAGGAGAAAAGCATGCGATTTCGAATATACCGGGTCTTTGGAGATGTCGTGTGACAAAAAAAAAACTGCCGATTAAAAATGGACAACGCGCGGGTGTATGGTCGTGTGCATAGGTTGAGAGATATACATCGAGGACACGTTTGTGACATCGAATCGTCCCGGGGATAATAATTCGGATAACAGAACGCCGCTGTGGATCTCAAATCTCGACGTCTCCGGGATCGACGACAACAAGGACGGTGCGAACGCAAAAGATCTGTTGAGAGAACATCGGAAAATACTCGCGAACGACTTTCGCGAACGACCGAGCGGGCGGCAGAATGCGCTAAACGCTCTCTCATTCATTCTAGCACATACAGTCTTGGAGAATACGTTATATAATACCGCGTTTCGCCGTGCAGTCGTGTTGCATACACACACGGTCGTCGGAGAGCAGCCTACTACAGCTTTTGTTTTTCCTTCTTTCGTTCAATGTGTGTGTGTGTCACAGGTATAAACTTGGTAACTATCATCGACGAGTCTTACATCGGTATACGTCTAGGTGAATAGTCAATACGAAAGTCGACTCTGAGAGATGATGTTCGAAAACACGCGGATGAGATTCAGAAGTAGGTGGTACAAGTTCTTTTGTGCTCCTTATTACGTTATTATCGCTGTACGAAAGGCGAGTCGTGTCTTTAGTACAGCAGCGCGGCGACGATGAGCTGCCCGGGGACAATTCATCGGATGTCCGAGATGTTGGTTTTGCTGCCGAAAATTTTGACTAGTTGATCCTCGTAATCGTCAATATTACGTTTCATAAGTTCCATACACGGGCCGAGCAGACGCTCGAATGCTTCAACGTCCAAAACTGCAAGCGAGGAACAGTCGTTTCTGAGTGAGTGGGACAGTCACGATTGCGCAAAATAATTATTCCCTCGCGCGTCTGCGTTTGTACTTTGCCGAATTTGCTTAAACGCGAGCAAATTAATTCTCCCGTTAATCATCCATACATACGTAGCAGTAGGAATTTCATACCTTTTTTTTTGCTCGCGCGTTTCGTACATACACGGTTCTCTCAATATACGCATTTATTTTTTATATATTCTCTGGTTTGAAATTTAAGCTTACTCGCGAAGAAACGAATGAAAATAATGAAAACGAGTAAGGAGAGCAGATTAAATACAATTTGTCGCTCCTGGTCAAAGATATTTACGAAAGGTACACGCGCGTGTCTGTAAATAAGAAACGAATTAAACGCGCAGCAAATACCGCGATATATCGTCTGATTATTACGGTAACAGCACTAATACTTGCAATTATCGCGTTAATCCGATATACACCCGTCGTGTTATTGGTCAAGCTGTCACAATTTGTAAACATAATGAAAATCGCGCTAACGTAACAAACTTACATGCCAGTTTGACGTCCCCCACAGCGTAGGCCGAAGCAGCACGTGGTTTATGCGTTACGAGTGCCAGTTCGCCTAAATAACCGCCGGCCGGAACACGATTAATCTGCGATATTAAAGGCAATGGGTGAGTAAGGAACGAGGCTCTTCTTGGCGCTCGTCATCGTGGAAACGAACGTTTGGCATTTCGCGCAGTTAAATTAACATATATACGTATAAATGCACCTCGATTTCACGGCCGTTCTCGCCGAGTATAGTGATCCTGACGATGCCGTCCTCGACGAAGTACATTCCGTCCGCCGTGTCGCCCTGCCTGATTATTTGATCACCGTCGGAATACTGTTTAGGTACGAGGGCGTCCGCCAAATTCATGCGCTCGTAAGACTGAAAGGGAATTTTTACGGTTACACGCGCGGACTTACCGTCCGAATTTCGCGGTAGCGTCGACGTTTTGAAGACCCAGGAATGAATAAATAAATAAATAAATACATAAATATCTTTGTATGCGTACAGAAGCCTATTTTCCAAATAATAAATAAAACATGAGATATTAGTGTACGGAATAAATATACACGATATTATTTGTACGATAATAAAATATTAATTATCATCAATTTTTTCCATTTCACGAAGATATGGGCACGATGACTATTAAAAGACGGGCATGCGCGATTACTTGCCTCGAGGGATTTCAGCATCGGCACTTTGTTAATGAGGTCTTCGTACATTTTACGTTTCTTGTACGCGGATTTGAGAAGAATACGTCGGAAGGTTTGTCTGTCCATGGCCCAGAGGGTGCCGGGCGTGATGGCTTTGACAGTGGCTGCTCTGGGCATGTTGTAGAGAAGGGCCAGTTCTCCGAAAGCACCGCGATTATCGTAAGTGTGAATGAGAGTGTCCACCCCCGTGGGATCCTTCACGTAAACTTCGAATTTTCCTCTGAAATGCGAGATGTATGACGAATATGAGAATGGTCGGTAATAGGAAAACGTGCGAATCTGTACTCAGGATTTACACGTGGTTTCGAAAACGGGAAGAGAGACCGCCTCTGATACGAAAACGGAGAAACGAATCACGAGTACAGCTGCAGTTTTCTTTTTTTATCACGTTCGTTGCTATACGTCACACACAGCGGTGTGACGCAGCGGTTCCCGTCGAGATCGACGTCACGTATGCGTGACAGCGATAATTTTCCGCTCAGGTGTTCACATAAACAGATAAAGTCCGTTACACTATCACACGGAGGAGAGGAGGGGAAACTGAAAATGTAGGGTGATCGCGACGGACGCTCGTCCAACTGAACATTGACAGTGACGACATTAAAACAAGCACACAGTGAAGAAGCACCGAAGCGGATCGAGGTGACTCTGGCATTCGTTTCTCGATAACAATACTTAATTATTATCTTAATTAAAATTGCTCGGATGTTGATATCGCGTGGAAACTTTTCACGTCCGGGTATATTCGGGTACGTTCCTATAGACATTCGATTGCACCGAGTAATCCAATAATCGAAAGGCTTCGAGCAGACAGTCCTATATATTCGAATCCAATCAAATTGTGCTCGAGTAACGCGCGCGGCCGTTCGAATTATTTTCAGCCAGAAGCTAAACCGGCCGAGAGAGTCTGTGCATCGCCTTCTTGGTTCATTGGAACTTCCCGCTGAAGGGAGAAGCCCATCGATACGTTAACGGTAATATAAAGAAAAAGTATTACCTCTCGATCACATAAAAGTTATCACCATCGTCGCCCTGTCGGATAATAAATTCTCCCGGTTGAATGGTTTTTTCGAACATCGCGTCCAATACATCCGCCATTTGTTCCTGCAAAAGTAATTTTATTACTCGCGTGCAAGCGTGTCTCGTAGTAAGACGCTGTCGTCCGATATTTAGAAAGACCGGCTTTAAAAGCGTAACACGAGCACGGAATTACCTTAATATGGCGGCGACAATCAATGTACGTGTTTATACGTTTATAAATATATTTGTGTGTGTGTATATGTGCGCGCGTGCGCATATGTGTATGTGTGTGAATATATGAAGAGTTTCGCTATTACGCGTTCCTCTCGCTCGCGAATTTTTAATCGACGCGAAGTGAACCTTTCACCTGAGCGAGAATTTTCAGAAAAATCGCCCACTCTCGAGACTCTTTATATTATCAGACCTTAAGAAACTCGAATAATTAAAAACCTATCACGAAAGTGTGGCAGCAAGGCGTGAAATCTCACGACTTTTGTCTTCAATTCAATCCAAATCAATCTTTCACGGATGAATTGATGATTATTTTCACGCGATTTTCCATGCCATTGTTATATTATCTATCATCTTATCGCATTATGTTATAATATTATATTATTATTATTATCGCGGCATCGCATCATCATTATTATTATTATATCGATCGTGCGGATGAGCTTTGTCGCAGGCAAAACCGATCGTCCCTAATAAGAGATTATTCGTGGATTTCTTGGTATTTCGCCGAGCTGGCGCGCACAGCAGCGCGCGCGTTATATTCCTGTTGCGCTAATCGCGGCTGATGAACGCACTATGTTTAACCTACCTCGTCTAGGGCGCGAAACAGGAGTATGTTCTTGACGCTTTCGCTGAGCCTCTGCCGCTGCTCGTCGCTCTTTGGATGGACCATCTGAAATGAAGGGACAATTAGCGTAAAGACATAGTAAAGCTCCGATGAGTCTCTCCCTCTCTCTCCCTCTCTCTCTCTCTCTCTCTCTCTCTCTCTCTCTCTCTCTCTGCTTCGCCACGGATTCTCGCACAAATATATTTTATACGAGACTCTGTCTTATTCTCCGTAACGGTGCAATTCTCTCGAAGAGATTGCAACAGCAAATTTGATATCTTTACCGGCTTGAGATATATCGCCCTTTACGGCGGTGAACTTTGACCTCTGACGTGTTTAGCTCACCATCATTTCGGGAGCAAGGCGCGTCGTTTCCCAGTTTTAAGGACTGCCCAGCCGTGTACCTTGCAGCCTGACAAGAGAGAGAGAGAGAGAGAGAGAGAGAGAGCGGGGTGGGGAAGAGGGGAGTAAGAGAGTAAAGCCACGGCTTTTACGGCCGCTTCTCCGTCGAAAATTTCGCCGTGAAGCTTCGCAGAGTCCTTGAATCCTTGAGATAGATCGTTTTCCCCGATTTGCGCCGTTATCGCGCTCGACTTTGCCGCCCCCTCCCAATTACAGATACTTGCGGGGATAATCAGTTTCCACGAGCGACGAGTTCTTTGTCTCGTTATCGTCGCGATTGTTATACACAAAAGCGATCAATTTTGCAGGAGGCCGTCACTTTACCGTCCCCATTACCAGCCGTGCTCCATTCCGCGCGCGTGCGGGCGAACGCCGCTATTGTGCGGCCGCCGCCGAGCCGTGTGTGCATCGTACGACGATTAGAACCTCGTCGGGTCGGGTCAGCCGCTCAGCCGTTTGTCGGCTCACCACCTGTAAAACTGTTGATTTCGCATCGCGCAGCATTATACTATTTAATGCCGCCCGTTGCCGCATGCGCGCGGCATGAGCCCGGCACACGTTAATAGAACCGACTTCCGACTCGTACTGAGTCGAGTTTCGTATTACCGAGCCTCAGCGTCTCTGCTCGCGTTCGAAACTCACTGTGGTCTTCCCTTTACTTTCTTCTCATCGTCGCTCATCGACGAATCATTCAATATGTCCGCGGCGTTAATTGATCCTGGACTGTCAGCGGTAATTTTCAATATTTATTTCCAGCGCGGCACTCGCCTCGCTCTTGCCCCCCCCTCTCCCTCTTGGAAGTACGATATATTGAAATTGATATTTAAAGCCGATGATGTTGTAGTGTGTTCCGATGAGAAGAGATTACAATCACGTTGGGAAATATACGGTCCAACTTGTTTTCTGAGGCAAGGATTAAGACTCAGATTGGGGAGGCTGCTGTCGGCAGCGCAGAACCAGCAGTCTAGCATCGAGATCCTGCGAGCATTGTTACTCTTCGACAAACAAATACGTCGAGCCTACGCGTCTTATCCGTCACGGGAGCGACGGATTATTTGCGAGGTAGCGCGGCTTTCGTCGTAAACAGCGAGAAGATCGCCGCAAGTACGTTCCACTTTCTTCGTCGCCTCTTTGAAAAATCGCGAGTGTCCCAGTTTTTTCTGCCTACTGTCCAGTACAGCCAGTAGCATGTAAAATATGATACACCGCCCCGGCGACGGCGGCGGCTGCGGCGGTCTAAGGGAGGCAAGCACTGCCGATTCTCTGCCTTCTCGTCGTGTAACCACGGCATCGATAATCGGATTCACCGGATGGTCTTTGTGAAATGCTCTCGAACCGAGCGACGACGATGTTGCGCGCGCGGCGATCCCTCTCGCGCAAACCTTACTCTCTCTCTCTCTCTCTCTCTCTCTCTCTCTCTCTCTCTCCTCTCTCTCTCTCTCTCTACACACAACCCTCTTTCACCCTCATTCACGAGCGCACTCGCTCGCTCACGTGCACGTATGTACACCGTATATATACACGCGCACGATGGTATAAGTACATGCATGTAAATCACGTCCGTGCCAGGTTATCGAACACGCGGCCTGACGTCACAAAGGTACATCGCCTCGCATCGCTGAGCAAAGCAACTCTTCGTCGCGTTTCGTCACTCGCGCGGCAGCTCCGGAGAAAGAGAGAGAGAGAGAGAGAGAGAGAGAGAGAGAGAGAGAGAGAGAGAGAGAGAGAGAGAGAGAGAGAGAGAGAGGGCAGGGAAGAGGGAGAGACGTTTTATAGACTATGATATATTATATACCCCGTGTGCATATAACGTGTGCGGTGTATAACAACGTTTCGTAACGAGACTATTTTCTGCTACTACCGAAAAAAAGCCAATCGCCTCTTGCGCGAAGGCGCGCTCGTCGCCGATATCCTTCGCGCGCAGAATATGGCGGAATTTATTATAAAACCGGTTTTTATATACTTCGCGCGCGCGCGCACCGCGAATTAAAAATTCGCGAATCTCGCTCGATCTGTTCGACGAGTCTTCCTCGGCGTCTCGCGGGAAGCAATCAATAGGCCGAGTCTCAACTGATTTCTCTCCCTCCCCCTGAAATCTCTCAAAACATTCACGTTGTCTCGTCGTCTCAACAGTGTCACACAGAGAAACGCGAATGGAGTTAATCGCGACGCGAACGTCCTGAAAAAGGACACGCTAGGATCTACCCCCGTAAGAACACAATCGATAGGCTATGTGCATAAAGCGACTCGCTCGTGAACATTGAAAATAGGAAAAGGTCTATCGATCCTTTTCTCGGACATCAAGTGGTCCTCCTCTCTTCTGAGCTTCCTCCGCTGCGTCGTGAAATTATTGTCGCACGGACGAGGCGATCTCTCGTGCTAGACGGCTAGAATTTATAAGCGACATACATATGACGTTTCGTAACGAGATCATTGTGCGTCCCGTTTTCTGTCTGTCTCTCTCTCTCTCTCTACTGTTTCTGCTCTCTCGGCCCTGAGAGAGAGCGAGAGCGAGAGCGAGAGAGAGAGAGAGAGAGGAAAAAAGGGAGAAAACAGTAAATTGCTTCTGCTGAATATGTATTCATCGTCGCGCCATACTCGATACGAAAATATGAGCGGAAGTGCCATCCGATACGCACGCGCAGACGATGAGGTCGACCTGAAAATTCACTCGAGGTATTTTAATTTTAAGATAATTTTTAAGATAACGTGCGCGCACGGGGGGGCAGAGAAGGAGAGGGAGAGGGAGAGGGGGGGAGAGAGAGAGAGAGAGAGAGAGGAGCTGCGCTGCACATTATGACGATGTATCCGATTGAAACGCGCTTCTTATACTTGGCCGATTATTTTCGCGGCTGATGCATGACGTATCAGTTTTCGCCGATTCGGCGAGTCGCAGGTGTCGACAGGCGCGAAAAAATGCGCGGCTCCTGCCGATTTTATCGCCTGGCGGAAAAGCCCGATTTGGCTTTACCGTTACGTTGCGATACACGATAATAGGAAATCTCTTAATCGACAAAGAGGCGCAGCGTATCGCGTGCGATTGTCTTTCGCGAATCAATAGTTTTTCTCGATACGGATAAGCAGAGATAGAGAGAATAATCCGGGAATGCGCGATTGTCGCGAACGTCATCAGAATAGGCCTCGGATTCTTTTTTTGTAGTCCATCAGCGGGGGGGAAAGAGGGAAAGAGGGGTGAAAGAAAAGAACCGTCACGAGTGAGCGAAAGCAGCGCGGTCGAACCCACCCTCGAGCGATTATCGAGTTAACTGAACAAATAACGCGTAATTAATGCGATGAATTATCAGTTAATTAAATATTAACGATTATCCCTTGCTATCGCTCGTTATCGCGCGCGCGCGCGCAAGCGTGCGTATATCGGGCGGAATTTGTTGCGACGTTGATCGGCGTTGAGGCACGATCTCTGTTCGATCAACTTGCAGTTTCTTCAGTCCTGTTCACACAGCCGAGCCGCTTTTTTTCTCTAAATATAAACACGAGACCTTGGCAATATCTTTGCGGCGACGACACTTCACGCACTCATCTGGCTTTATCGCGGAAAGTCGCCCGTGTGGTAATTCGCGGCGGTAAAACAGCGCAAAAGACACACCTTGAAGCCGTCATCCTCCTCATCCTCCTCGGGATTGTAAGTCTCGGCGAAGACGCTCTTCCTTCTGGTGGCGAACCGGCCAACTGGTGGCTCTGAAACGCGAAACAGGCACACTTCAATCCAAGGCCCGACGTAATTGCAATCAAAACCAGAAATGAGACGCGAAGGAATCGGATTAAATCGCGCAAAGTTGCGACGAAACTCGAATGGTCGAGTGAAGTATGATGAAGTGAGACGCGGAGACCGTCGTCCAACGGTCCAACGTCATATTCCAACTCACATATCCCGAGAACGTGCTTGTTAATGTAAAATTTATTAACAAAAAATAAAAAATAAAGAATAGAAAAAAAACAGGACAAGCGGTGGTAAGGGAAGGCGGATGTAACGGGAAAAACGCCTAAAAAATCGCAATCGCAATTGGTATCCGCGAGCGAAGTAATTGCGGCGAATATGCGTTGCGACGTGCAATTCAAAGCAACGTGCGGACGCTTACACGGGGGATGGTTACGAGGGGCGGAGGCGCACAACTGCCGCGAGGATGACGACGTTGAGCGCCGAGAGCGTGGCATTTCGTCGCAGCTGACTAACCGGCGACGCGCGTCCACGCCGATTAGCCATCTGCCGAAATGACCTGCCCGATATACGTTTTACGTAACCGGGCAATTTTGCCTCATGAAAGACAACTTCGCGAGAACTCGCGAGCCGTCGCGCAGCAAAAACTTCAATCAGTCGTTCAATTATGCAAACGCGAAGACCTGCATCGGCGAGCGCGCGGCCGCTCGTTCGTTCGTTCGTCAACCGCCGGCGAAGTCGTAATTAAGAGAGAGAGAGAGAGAGAGAGAGAGAGAGTGAGAAAGACGGGGAAGAAGAGGGAGGGAGGGAGGCAGAAAAATTGCGATTTCACGGAAAGCTCATCGACGAGCTCCGCCGCGAATGATTCTTTCTTCGGCGGAAGCGCATCCAGGTGTCTCGCTACCATTCAAGGGGGAAGAACTCTCGGCGCTGGGTTCAGAATTAATTAAGCTCGTGCTCGCGTCGCTTTCGCACCTTTGTCATCCACCGGCTCGATGACGGAGATGAGCGACATTCGGGCCGCGGGAGGGAAGACGATGGCGACAACGCAGAAGAAGCTCGCGAAACGAGCGAGCGAGTTCCCGTCCTGCTTTTCGCTGCTGTACGCTCGTGCACACTTTTTGCGAAACAAAGACGATGACGCGCGGTCGTAGGGGGTGCTGTACCTCGTGTGTATGCCTGCGGTTTCGCTCGCAAATGACTTATTTGCATATGAATTTGTGGCTGCTGACGAGACGGAGGAGGAGGAGGAGGACAAGGAGAAACCGATGCGCGCTAATAGCGGAGCGAGACCGAGCGGTGTAAAACGAGCGCGGAATGCCGCAGATGATTACAATGACAACACGGACAGCATGGTATTTCAAGCTGGAATTGTCCGAATCTTATGCAACGCTCGCGACTGAAAGATTAAGGACGATAAGAATTCGGAAGGTATCCGAGACCTTCCTCTTCGGTCTTTCACGCACGATCGAGCGACATTTTCTAACGGAGCGTTTTCGGAGCACTTTCCTTGCGGGCGCAAATTCCCGGTCCGCGCAGCGGACCTCCGACGAGGGAAGCGAATTTCACGGAGACAACTCCTCTCGTCGAACCATCGGTCTGCGAGAAAAGTGTCCGAAGCTCGTCGGTCTCGCCCGATCTCCGCGATGAGCGAATGAAAATCGAATATGATCGCGAATGGCTGGACGATGAGGGTGAAAATCGGACAAGTGCGAAGCAGGCAGTCGGCTGTGCGAGTTCCGCGCGAGTTCGCCGGCATTCTACGATTCGGGCCCTCAACTCTGCCTGCTTTGCACCTGCTCGATCATACCTTTACGTCTCCGAGAGAGAAGGAGAGAGATGCGTTATCTCTCCGGCCGGAAGGAAAAGGAGGAAAAGGAAGAAAGTATCTAAAGATGCTCACGGGATATCACATTTATACCGATTTCCGCTCGCACAGCGAAAGGAGGTGAGAGATAACGGGAGGAGCGATAGGAGAGAAAGATAAGGAGAGCGTCGAGGAACGTAGTCGGGAAGGACAAAACGGAGATCTGATCTCTAATTGTGCCAGCGAAACGACGCGGGACGCGACTCGCGGTGAGATGAGATTACGAGCTGGCTTATCTCGCGAATGGCAAAAGCCGAATCTCGCGGACGAAAGCGTGGAAAGCGCGATCGCGTATCCGAGAACGTAGCGTCGCGACAGCGCCTGACCGGACCGGACCGTTGGCGCGACTGACCAAGTAGAGCGACAGCGACGAAGACGACGGCGACGCTGATGACAACGACGACGACGACGACGACGACGACGACGACGACGACGACGACGACGACGGCGTCTGCTCCGAAATCGCGCGCAGCTCTCGGAAAGTCTCCGGCCGGCACCGTCCATCGTTCCTTCGTTCTCGATCTTTCAACGGCGACATCGCCGCGCGTTCCGGCGCGTTACCTCGCTAAATCGCTCCACTCTTTCGGCTTTCGGCGATTCGGCCGAAAAACCGGCGCCTTCGGCCCCGTGGCGCACGATGAGCGCCGGTAGCGACCGTATTATCTCCAACGTTACGGCGCGACGCGACGCGCGATAACGTTACCGCTCTGGATGCACCTTAATCCCGGAGCAAGCGCGTGACTGACGTGTGTCACGGCGCAGCCCTCTTTAACCCTTAATTCGACGTTGTATGTCCTCTACAAAGTTGGTGCGCAAAAAAAGGGACTTTGCACAGACGTGAGATGAATTCTCTCTCTTTTTCTTGGCGAACGAAAGAGGGAGGGGGAGGGAGAGAGAGAGAGAGAGAGAGAGAGAGAGAGAGAGAGAAAGAGAGAAAGAGAGAGAACGGACGGTGTCGGATCGAGGATTATCGCACAACCGTTCATTGGAGTCGCGAGAGAGCGTGGATTGTCGCGAATCGCGAATCTTGCGCGATAGAGATAACGATGGAAACGGGTGGAACGTGGGCGATCGCGATAATAGCTCGGTCGTAAGTTCCGTTTTCGAGGAAACAAACGTCCCTCAGTCGCAATAACGTGTACCCTGTGATCGTTCATTGTTCCTGTCGTCGATTCCACAGCTGCGTCCCAGGCTTCCTCGACAGCTTCCTGGGACTACAGTGTGAATGCGACTGTATGACTAATCATGCTGGTAACTCTAAACCCGACTCGACAATTTGCTACTTAGAACACACCCGATGTCACAGAAATCGGCATCCCGAACGAGGCTCGTCCGGTTTACGCGCTCAAATGAGAGAGGAACATTTCATTATTTTCGACGCGATTCTCTCGCGATGAAAGATCCTCTTTATCGACGCATTCGCCCCGGGAAACGAGATGTCTCGTCTTCCAGCGAAAATTCTTCGAAGAGGACGAGCGAATGTATGCGAGGACAATTTCAAAGCCAATCCATCGTCGACAAAACGGGCGATCGCGCAAATGACGATGAAACGTCCGACCGTTAATTACGCGAAAGGACATAACCTTTCGATATTTTCGTGCACAGGGGAACGTCGCGATTCCCGATCGATCGTGTCATGGACGATTTAGCGATTCTTCCTCTCGGTGATTTCGGGACACTCTGTACATGCATCAATGAGCAATTCGTTTAAATACGACAAACGTTGACCGACGTCTGCAGAATCGTCCCTGAAACGTTGCAAGGAAAGACAGAGAGACAGTGAGAGAGAAAGTGAGAGAGAGAGAGAGAGAGAGAGAGAGAGAGAGAGAGAGAGAGAGAGAGAGAGAGAGAGAGAGAGAGAGAGAGAGAGAGAGAGAGAGAGAGAGAGAGAGAGAGAAAGAGAGAGAGGGAGTGACAGAGAGAAAGAGAGAAGAGGGAGAGCCAGATCGTCAGGTCAAAGGTGAGACTCACCCTCGTCGACGGACTCGTCCGGCGTGGACGTGCAGGTTTGCGTGTCCGGTCGGATCAGCTGCGTCTGTCGGGCGTCTCGCAGGCGCGTGAAGAAGTCCACGGCATAGTCGATGATGTCGCCGGGTTGCTCCAGTAGGTAGCTGATGGTGAATTCCAGCAAGACGTCGCGCAGGTCGTCCGGCACCGTGATTTTGCCGGCGTTGCGTTGACAGCTCATCTTCGATCTTCCTCGGTCAGCGAGAACAGTCGTAGACACCCGGCGTGCACGCAAAATATTCCCCTATTTCCCCCTTTTCACTATGCGACCTTCGCGACGCGCTCCGTTAACACTCGAGTCTTCGAGCCTCCTCGATTTTCTTCTCCCTCTCTCTCTCTCTCTCTCTCTCTTTCTCCTTATCTCTCGCGTTACCTTGTACGTTCGTCCAAGACTTGTCACACGTAGTCTGTGCGTTACGTGTCACTCGAAGGTCCCGACAGGCCGAAGCGAGAACAGCCAGAGGTCGGAGCTGAGAGCCGGGGCCGAGGCCAGGGTCGGACGAAGAACGAGAGCGCTCAGCACGTACCGCCCACCTTCGCGTTGATCGCCGCCGCCGCCGCCGCCGCCGCCGCTGCCGCCGCTGTTGACCTGTTCTCCCGTTGTCGTCGTGCCGCGCCGCCGGTCGCACTCGTCGTCTACCGTCGCTTGTGCACCGGCAACAACCACCGCCACCGCCGCCACCGTCGCCGTCGCCGTCGTCGTCGTCGTCGCAGCCACCGCCGCTGACAAGCTTCTCCGTCGTCCGCACGCGGTGCCGCGATGACCCTCGTCGACGGGTTGCTGCTGCCTACCGAGACGACGCTGCGCACAGTCGCGCAGAACATACGACGGGAGCGAGGCACGAGAAGGAGCCGACCGCGCTCGCTAAGATGGCGACTGATAGCGCCCGCACCCGCACCAACGCCGCGAATTACGTTATCACGCACAGCGAGAGAGCGTCGTGTTCTAGAGGGCGAGGGACCCTCGCGAGGGAGATGCTCTATTCATACCGCAGCTGATTTTGGCGCTTTTCGGCTGAATTTCGAAGCGTATTTTCGGCCTCCAATGGGATGAGTTTGTCTCTAGAATCTTCCTAGCTTCAACGGCACTCTCGTCTCGCTAAAAAGTTCCCTGTTGCTCGCGTGAGGCGCATTCGCGGGAGCCTGCCGTAAATTTATTATCAATAATTATAATGATCAATATTTATCATTGATCGCAATTGTCATTGGAATTCTAAGACTGTTTCTCTTTCGCTCAACTCCGGTGTACATTTTGGAAAGAAGCAGGCTTGAGACTCGGGAAGAAAGAAAAAAAGATCAGTGCAAAAAGTGCACAAGGGAAGAACAGATATTACTAGCAGCGGTTGGGTTGTTTCTCTAGTAATTTATTTAGTGAATTATCCGCTATCGTCGCGCGCGCGCGCGCTGAGTTTTCGTTCTACGTTCCGTCGTCCGTGGTCGGTGGCAAAATGACAGACAGTTTGTGACCTAATTGTGCGAGAAGAAAAAGAAGAAAGTGGCGGTGAAGGATCGTTTATCATGTGCAATTTCCATGAGAATCTCGATTTGAACGCACGATCGCGACAGGGGGATTTGAATTTTTGAAAAAGGACACGCAATCCGGAAGATGCAGTACGTAATGTCTGTCGCGGCCGAAGCTCTCTCGCTCGAGCGCTAAAAATATTTCCCGATTTTCTCCTTCTCGTTGCTGTCACTTTTACTTTCGAAACAGCTGTTGATCGGGATAGCCGATCAGTCCCGTCGCGCGGATCGATCTCCTCTCGCGATATCGATAAGCCCGTTTTGGCGGAATATCACGTCTGATCTTTATCAGCGTCGGTACTGTTTGTGTTATAACACGCGATGTGTCATAACATAACACGTCCTCTGCAACTGTCAGTAACGAATGAGACGAGGACGCTTATACATACGCGGGTAATCGCTCGGCGGGAGGAAACGTGTAAACGTAAATAAATTTTGTTTAATCGAGGGTATTTCGATTGTTACCTACGGTATCGACGGGTATGTAAAATACTGTATCGTAAAATACTATATAAATATCATATAGTTTTTCTTGTCAGGGAGAATGGTCGAGCAACACGCCGTAACAGAGATTCTCTTTGTGAAAAGGATTGCATCATTTCTTCAAAATAGAATTTCAGAATCGAGTTTATATATTACATAGGACGAATAAGTGGCAAGCACCAAGTTAATTTTCCAGTGTTTATTTGAAAGTCTTACATATAATAACTGTGATATACAATAACAATTGTAGAATTACTATATTACATCATGTTACAGAATCAAATTTTATATAGGATATTTCTTTAATATATAATTTATAATTCCTTAGTTATAATATACAAAGATCTTTATATATAAAATAATATTAAATAAAAATACATGAAAATAATTATACTGTAATCAAAATTATATAATATTCTCAATAAAGCTTAAATTTTAGTTTTTTTTTGTGTCCTTCCTGAAATTTTTAGAATATAAGAAACTTTTTCTTAAGATTGGTGATATTTTTTCATTTTGACTTGGCAAAAATTATTATATAGTCGGTACTAAATTTTAGTAATTTTATTTTAAAAATAAATTTTCTGATATTGTATAGTATCTTTATATATTTTTCCTATCACAAATTCTGAGGGCATTAAATTTTTACAATAATGTTCACATTTTTAAATATGAATTTCATCACTTGATTTCTTATTTTACTAAGTAGAATTTATAGTTACAATTTCAGATTTAAAGTGCTAACAATCACATTAAAATATTCTGTTACAGATATGGAATCGTTTTTACAACTTTTTAACTCGCAAGATGACAACAATATGAGGACAAGGAAAAGACAATGGAATGATTTGGAAAATGAGGGAAATGGCTTATCGGACTGTGAGACCTCCAGTGTCGAGGAAGATCAGGAGATCTCTTTGCCACCAGAGCCTGAACAGGGAAACATAGAGTACAAATTAAAATTGATAAATCCGTCTAGTCAACGTTTCGAACATCTTGTTACACAGATGAAATGGAGGCTAAAAGAGGGACAAGGAGTGGCAATTTATCAAATTGGTACGAATAATTCCAGTGGCATAACACAGTGGTTTTGTGTTGTTCCTCTCTTGTTGCTTACCGTTGGATTATATATTGTTCCATACAGGAGTAGAGGATAATGGAAGATTGGCAGGTCTGTCAAAAGAGGAAATGAAGGCATCTTTAAAGACGCTGAAGGATATGGCCTCCAGACTGGGCGCTACCATAAGGGTATTACGCGAGCGAGTAGCCGCAAGTTCCACAAGTAAGACCATGGTGTCGCAAAGCAATACTAATAATAATAACAATAATAAAGAGGAAAAAAAAGTTGCTGAAGTACTGGTAAAAAAATTACGAAAGGACGACAGAGAGGATCAGGATAGTATCATAGATTTGAGGCTGGCGGTTACCGGTGCGCAGGATGCTGGAAAGTCGACTCTCTTAGGTGAGAGGATTAGCAGAGGATATTTAAGGTATAGAAACATACGCTGACGGTCTACGCTCTGTCTTTCCATTGCTCCATCCGGCCCTACCCCGCCTTTCAACTTGTAGAATGTCGGCAATGAGAGTGATTACAAAGATTGCAATTGAGACGTAATTTGTACGTAGGTGTGCTGACTCAGGGTGAACTAGACAACGGTAGAGGTAGAGCGAGACTTAACATGTTGCGTCACCTGCACGAGATAAAGACGGGTCGCACGTCCTCGATATCACATGAGATCATCGGGTTCGATAGCGCTGGTCATGTGTTGAATTATGCCGAAATGGCCACGGCCGAAGAGATATGCGAACACGCCTCGAAAGTCGTCACTTTCATCGACTTAGCTGGACATCGGAAATATATGCGGACTACGGTTCTTGGACTGACAGGTATGTAACTTTTAGATCCCAATAATTACAGGATACGATGTGAATAATTTAAATTTATACGCATCAAAATATGAATCAAACTTAAAAATCTTTTTAGGATATTCACCACATCATGTCATGCTGGTGATAGCACCACCTCTGAACGAGGCGTCGCAAGAACATATGGCTCTCTGTTTAGCTTTAAAGCTTCCTTTCTTTATCGTTCTGAATAAAATCGATTTAGGATTCTGCGACACGTCCGAGACACTGGTTCAACTTGAGAATGTCATGAGGGCACAGGGTTATCCCAAGCAATTAGTACCATTTAGTAATAATGAGATACCGTGGGACTACACATCTGACGTGATACCAGTATTTAATGTTAGTTGCGTTACTGGCGAGGGTCTCGAGGAGCTGACTACTTTTATTAAAAATTTGGCTCCTTACGAGACCATCTCGATAGACTCAGACCCGGAATCCTGTCTATTTCAAATCGATGAAACCTTTAGGTATGCTTGAGTTATCTTCATTACGGTAACTAATCGACAAATCGACCAAAATTTTATTGACTGCGACTTTAAAAAAAATCCTTGATGTTTCACGAATGGCAGTTTTTATAGATCGTTAGTATAGGGAAGAAAGATTATATGACGGTAATTCTTTCGTTTTACTTCATCCAGGGTAGCTGGTTTGACGCAACCAGTTTTAGGAGGATTACTCGTTAAAGGAGCGATAGCACCGGGAAAACGTTTGCTAGTAGGGCCCTTGCCAGACGGAGAATTTAGCCCGGTCAAAGTGGTTAGTCTACATCGCAATAAGGCTCCGTGCTGTTTAGTCAGAGCGTCGCAGAGCGCTAGTCTGACATTGGCACCGCCGACAAATCGTAGCCCTCCTTTGCCGCCTCTTCGACCTGGAATGGTTCTAGTTTCTCCGTGCGATCAACCACATGCTACACTTTTCTTTCAGGTGTGTGTAAGACTGCTTTTGTCGTTTATCATATGACGTGTAACTCGACTGCCTCGAATCTTTCATTCAATGTGAGATGACCTAATGTAAAATTAATTGATTTACCATGACCACATTTGAATATTTTTACTTTTTGCACATATGTTGCTGAATATCACAGCAAATAAAATTAATTTAAAAGTAATATACTCCCTTTCATTCACACATACACACACACACACACATGCATATGTATTTGGTCGAGTCAACCGCTTTGTCGAGATCGAAAATGTGAAGAGAAAACAATTGTTGGTGCAAAAAATATTGCAATCGGTTTGTTGACTATACTATAAAATAAATAAAATTGTACCAGTTGGTTCAATAAAGCAACATTCAAGGTGGTCGAGTTTTATCTTGTGTATTTTTATTCACAAAGCGCCATGAGAGTGTAAATAAAACTGCGCTGTCTTCTAGGCGACGGTGCTAATAGTGTATCATGCGACAGCGATATTTTCGGGCTTTCAAACGACAGTGCATGTGGGTAACGTGAGACAAACTTGCGTCATCGAGGGTATAATGGATATGACTGAGCGGGGCTTGCAGACAAATGACACCGCCTCCGTGTTGTTTAGGTTCGTCAGCCACCCAGAGTATCTCCATGTTGGAATGCGTTTGTTGTTCAGGGAGGGACGTACTAAGGGGATCGGTAAAATAACGCAAATCTTTCCGCTGATCGGATCGCGGAATTCGATGAAATGAGAGAAATTAGCACAATGTAATATACTATCTGACATAACGTTTTCTATAGTATTTATGTACACGTAACGCGAAAGAAAAAAAGAGGAAAGAAATACCATAAATGTTTTATAAAAGTAGGGTCGTACCGCTACTGACGTTATTATTAGCGCAATTAAACGGTTGGATTTCATCGTCAAGCTGCTCGAAATAACGAGAATTGTTATTGGTATGTTTATTCTGTATATTTTTCTTCAATATGGAGTCGTCCACCTCGACGTCGAGATTCTGGGCGGAGTTCTAGGATAGATTTCCTAGTATATCTTCCTTATGCGATAACATAATCTACACTAGGTAGTAAAAATGTGCAAACGAAGCAGCAGGAAAGCTCACAGATAATTTTAGACTTCTGTCGCCTTCAGAAAGGCAAGTAGAAAATACATCGCACTCGGTTCGTTAAATATCGGCACCGAGGTGTATATTTTTTTTGCTTCGTAGAATATAAAGTTTTGTTGATTGATCGAAACCTAGGATTTCGTTTCTGGGTTTTGTTTCTGCAACACGAGTTTGTACGTGTTACAACGATATTTTGGTAGACGCGTTAAAGGCAATGAGCTTTGATTTATAACTAAGATTTGGCTCGATCTGTACGATTGTTCAAAAATATGACCTCGTTTCTGTGTCGAGTAGTGTGTTAACATTGTCGAAAGAGAATTTATTTTCATGTGTCACAGATATGCTTAGAGATTTTATTAGGATATCTCTAAAAACAGGACAATAGGTTTTTGAGTTAGTATATAATTTAATGGATAATTTATATTTTTGAATTTATGTATAGAGTGCAATATATTAGAAATTCTTTCTATTTCGAAAACAAAGTGACCTCGTATGTAGAAAAATAATTATCTGCAGAATTATTTTTTTTTTTTTTACTGGCGTATTATATGCAAAAGTGTTATGCGTACTTAAAGATTTCTCTTATATTGTGTGAGTTATTTAATTTCCGAATATTGGCTTTTGTGAGATTCACATGAGAAGGTATCAGTTATAAATTATTTTACTTCTCATATTTGTTGAGATCGGAAACGTCGTTTCCCTTACTTCGGTTACGCTATTTTCTTATTTAATGATGATACGCTATCGGACATACAACTTGTAAAGCACAACTTGTTTTATTTTATATTCCCTGTACAGTTCTATGTGTAATATCTTTTGTAAGATTACATTCGCAAAGATTCCAATCTCAGTAACGAAGTTACCCGTTACATGTACATTTAGAAATTTCGAGAGAATGAAGAAAAAGAATGTGAAAGGGAAAAAAGCGAATGTGAGGATAATCTTCGTTCTGTATGCTAATTACTGCTTGAAAATAAAATTCGATAATACTTTAATGATGCGTATTTGCTTGTTCACTATGTACAAAGGAAAGTGTCGATGTGTATATTCTTGAATAAAAATAGGCAATCGTCCCTGATGATGAAAGATACATTGCTGCATATTATTTTATTTAAAACAACACTCTTAAGTGTGACATAATTTACCGTTTATCACGACGGCTCCTTAATCATTTTTTTCCACTTCATTCCAATAAAGTATTATTTTACACAGTGGTATATATAATCACTGTTACAAAGGTTTGCAACACCTTTTTCAATACGTTTTTCGTAACGCATTCGCAACTAATATATGAATTCGTTTTTACGCAAGTTCCAGACTAGTTTCTAGTAGCAAGATCAATTTTTTTCTTGAACACCTTATGTGTGTGTGTGTGTGCGCGCGCGCGCACGCGTATGGCGTATGTGTGTGTGCGTGTACGCGTCTGAAGTTAGCCGAGTTACAAAAGCGTTGCAACCTTCGCTCCATTGATAGAGCGCTTGCGCGCGCACTTGTCTTTTCGGCGGATCATAATTGCGCGCTTTAACCGTCACGGTGACCGATCGCGATGGACCTCAATGTCGAAGAAATGCAGGTAGCAGTTGACTTTGCTGACCAAGTCAAGGTATGCAATTAGTCACGTATTATCGTAATGAAAACTCAGAGATATTCGATGACGACGGATTGTAAGGAGAATTCTAAATGAATCAGCTGCTGCCGACCACGAGAAAGCAAAAGAGAGAGAGAGAGAGAGAGAGAGAGAGAGAGGGGGGAACAGTTTCTGGCGTGATGCCGGAGCGAACCTTTCGAGCGGAGTCAACATGCACAAGCTTTCACCAGAACGAGCCACAGCTCCGGGCTACACAATTGGGCCTCTTTGTCGCTCTCCTCGAGATCGGTTCTGCACCTCGCACGTTCACCTCCCACTTTGGTAACCGCTTCGCTCCGCTTCTCTCTCTCTCTCTCTTTCGCACGCGCGCGACTTTCCACCCGCGACCGAGACGAAACCGACCCGCTTCCATGCCGTCGATAGATAGAAATCATGTTGTCGTCGTAGATGATTTGATATCGTCATCGATCGCCCGGTCCATTGTTCCCTAGATCACGTAGCGTTTCTTCGTGAATCCTGTCATTTGGTCCCGTAATTACGGCCTGCGCGTTCGTCTACGCCTTGACCTTCCCTTATGCAGATCCGCGTGAAGCATTTGAAATCATACGTTTCTAAAACGAGGAATAAGACATTGGCGGGAGTGGAATCGAACATTCATAGCGGCGAGCGTTTTGAAATTACCGTACAGATATTGAGGACATCTCTGATCTACTTTGGATCTTTTAACAAGTAACTAACGTTCGAAGAAGAAGAAGAAGAAGAAGAAGAAGAAGAAGAAGAGCAGTTCTGTAAAAGAGACCATATCACGGGTAACCTTATTTTGTTTTCAGAACATGTTGAGTCCGGCCGTCCGCAAAAATCCAAATCTTTCGAGCGGACACGGACAATAACGGAGCGTTCGCGCACGGTTCGCCAGTCCTCTACATTTTCCTAAGGACATTCACTCCGAAATACACATGCTCGCACAGCTGTTCTCCCGAGGAGAAAAGGAAAAGAGACGGAAAATACACGAGTCTTGCGCAACGTTGCGTAATGCGCCGCGTAAGTCTTCGTCAGCTGATAGTACAGACAAAATAACAATTAGCCGCTCTACAAGTGTATCGCGTCTTAAGCGAGTTGAGCAATAATCAGCCTCTTTCCTCGCTTCCATGAGGAAAGAGAGAGCGACGCGGTCGCTCGCGGAGAGAGGGAGAGAAAAAGAGAGAGGATCGCCGGCAGTAGCTCGACGGCTGGAGAAGTAGGAGGAAGGCCAACCGGGATGGTGGTGATCGGCTCCGGATCCACGAGTGGCAGTCCATGGCGGGTAGTCGGCGCACAGTCAGCCACCACCTCGGCCAGTCGGTTGTAGTCAGTCGGTACCTGAAGAGCAGCTGCGTCCGCGGGGCCGCGATAGTGCGCCTCGGTTCACCCACTGCTTTCGGCTCCGGCTCGTTTTCATCTACCTGCCTCCTTGCCTGTCTCTAAGCTCCAGGACGAGAGAGATACGCGATCGCGCGACCTGAAGGATCTGCTCCTGGAGTGAAGCTGGTAGCGTGCCCGCGAGCGCACGTCAAGCTTAGCGCGTCAGGTGCGCGGAGTGTTCTGATATCAAGTGTTGAATGAAGACTCATTTGTCCGTTGTATATAAATGATCGAGTGAGCGCCCACACACGCGAGGAGGAGGAGGAGGAGGAGAAGAGGTGCTCGAAGCACGAGGCGGTATCTCAGAAGAAGCTGCGGAAATCTGACCTACGGATGGTTAACGTGAGTATCTTATTGCTGATATTACGAGCTGTCTACGTGCACATGTCGCCGCGCTCCGTGACGTTTGATTCAATGAGAATTCAAGATGACATGTGGTCGCTGATCGCTGTGTCATCACGTGCAAATCGATTCCGCGGATTCGCATTCCTCGAAGCGTTCGTCGCGATTAGATCTCCGCAGTCCGGTTTTGCGGACTCGAGGAGTGCAAATTCGGCGAGTCGATCTATCTGAGCGTCGTGTCGAAAACGATGGCCCACTTCTTTCTCTTTACTCGAGCGTAAGAGACGGTTTCGAGTCACGAGAGGCCTCTTCACGCTGCCTACATCCCTCTTCACGTTTACTACATAGGAATTTCTAGCAAGGCGCGCCGCACGCTCTGCGTGTATATGTGTGCAGAGTGATTTCTTTGCGTGAAAGTCATTCTGCTCCTGCGGTGCCATCGAATCTGCTTAATGAAATGGAAACTATTGGACCCCCCTCGTGCACGGCATGCGAACGCAGATTGGTAATTTGAATGCGAGGTAGACGCGAGGTAACGGAGCGATGCACAGTAGCGCAGTTCCCCGCGTCGCTTTCGAGATCGCGAAATCTCGTCGTTTGGCCAACAGAAAGATACGTCCTCGGAGTATTTCTTCCGTTGTAGTATATTTTCATTAATTTTCATTAATATTTAATACCCAATATTTAAAATATTTTTTTCAATTTTTCTAAAATTTTGTTAATATTTTCACAGTTTTATCTTAATTAGTAATTATATTTTATCTTAATTATAATTTTATTAGCACGTAATAATTTCATTAGCATACGTGGTTATCTCCTTTGTGACAAAAAGAGCCGTTTTCTGCGGGAATTGCAAATATCGTACAACCGACCGAAATAGATTCATCATTCACTGGTTGGGTGATTCTGAAATCAGATCAGTACAATATCGCTTTCATAAGAATGGATCGGTGCCGCGATTTGAAATGATATTTCATTTCGTGTGCAAATTAGCTGCGATGCTAATGGGAGAAAGGTTACGATATATATATATGTGTGCTTTTCCACGCGCCTAAGCTCCAGGAGTAACAGGATATTTTCTACTGGAATGCTTTCATGGATTTGTTACGCTTCGCGGCGGCTCGCATTTTTTTAACACTCCAAACACGTACACCGTCTGCTCCGTCGATCGTAATTTCTCCCCTATATATTTGAAAGGTGCCCGATTTCCGCTTTAGAAATCCAGCGGCTCTCGATGTTACGTGCAGCTGTGTCTGTATCAAGTAACGGCTATCGTGTGATATATTATTCAAGTCTTTCGAGAAACATTTCTATAATTAGTAATTGATAGCAATGTTCAACATTGTACTTTACTTTTGATCTTTTATATATATATATATATCTCGATATTCCAAAAGTTCGCTTCAAACTTTATTCCGATATTTTATTTATTTATTCCAAAAATTATATATTCATTCACGATGATATTCTAAATTGCATATTAAAACAATTTAGTTGTCGTGTAATAAATACGATATGATAATATAGTCTCGAGATAACTTATTATGTTAAACATACTATTCGTTTTCTGTCTACATTAAATTTTTCCTTGTCCCAAATTGCCTTCCACGATGATCTTTATCAAAATAATATATTTGCATATGAAAATATATGTAGTAAGTAGCTATTACTGCGTCAGAAAGGCAAACTGTCGTGAATGATACTTCCGAGCTCTTTCACGTCCCTGCAATCGCGCATCGGCAACGGTAATTTTGTTAAGCACTTAACTAAGATTACTGTAATATCGTCAGCGTAGGACAGCGTAGGATAGCGTTCTTATGAAAGAATGGTTATCCATGTGACCCTGAAGCATTTTTACTTTCGAACACGTCGCCCACCGGCACGAATCTTCGTCTATATCTCCAAACACGTCCATTAGCTTAGGTCAGTCATCCGGACATTATAAGCGATCATAATCCGTGTAACACCTTCTCCCATTCTCAAAATGATACACTTTCAAAGAAGAAGACAGGCTTTTATGACATCCATCGCTTTCATAACTCCTGACGTCGTTATTTTTACTTCCGATCATAAATCATATGTGAGCAGTGATACGGTAGAATTTCCCAAACTACTTTTACGCCGAGGAAACCTGCGTTTAGGCTGAGGCGGTATAATATGATCGTAAAAAGCCGTAGACATTTACGAGATTAATTGTGATATTAAGTGATTATTATTATTACAATTATAATTATCACGATTATTATTATTACAATTATAATTATACGATATAATTATTATTATTATCGTAATATTATGCACGAGAAAGGTACTTTCACATGTATCTTTCACTTTTTCCTTTTCAGGCGAAAATATTTTATTATTGTATAAAATTTTTATTATTTAAAACAAAAATAAGTAGTATATTTGAATTGTTATTTCCAATGTTTACGGCCTGTTTTACGTAAAATATTCACATTACAATTTTTAAAGTGGTAGCACGATGTATTACGAAAAACGGAACTGAAACTTTGAACGTCCGCATGGTTGACTCGCGTCTCCGAAATTTGAGGATCGCAGTGTTTTCGCGTTCTGCTTGGCGTGTAATTATCATATCAGGGTGAATTCATTATGCGCCACCTCGCGGTAATTAGCGCGTTCGGCGTTTTGAATTTGCCACGGGTCGCTCGTTGCACTTTCACGGCGTAACAAAATCCGCGCCAGAAGATAATCCGGCCGTCAAATGAAAAAAAGCTAAGAGAAAAGACACGATAGGGAGAGAGAGGGAGAGAGAGAGAGAGAGAGAGAGAGAGAGAGAGAGAAAGAGAGAGAGAGAGAGAGAGAGAGAGAGAGAGAGAGAGAGAGAGAGAGAGAGAAAGAGAGGGAGAAAGAAGACGAGACACCTGTTACTCTTCGCGTACGCCCGACATGCTCGAGGAACCTCGAAGTCGACCGGCGCGAGATACCCTGCCTTCGCAAAACCGGGTCTTCTTCTCTCCACGACCTCGAAACACACAAATTACGAAGACGCGAATACGTCGAATACGGTAGAGAAGCATCGATAGGGGAGAGGCCGGTGTCCAACAACATCATCACATATGCAGAAACACACACACACACACACACACACACGAGGCACACTCGTAGCAGGCAGTGTGGCTACGAATTGTCGTGGAACAGATCGTAGAAAGTTGTAGGCATCCTCGGATAAAGGTGGAGGCGCGTTCTCGTCGCCGCTTGGAATTTACCGCCGTCAGACGCAGCTCTTCTCCTCGTTCTCTCTGCCGCGAGCGAAACCCCGGCTGGAAAAATTCGCCGGCCGCCGAGAGGGAGAGGGAGAGAAGGAGAACGTCTCTCCTCCGGGAGGGTGCGCAGCCTCGTGATTTATTAATCCGCTGCGCGTTAAAGGCACAGAACGTATCGCCGCGCGTGGAACGCACCGGGCCCTTACGCGGACCGACCGGCCGGCCGGCCGCGTCGTTACGCGACTACGACTTTTACATTCTCGCGTAGGTGTTGCGGTTTCCTCGCCCGGTCGCTCGGTCGTGCCGTAATAGTGCTCTCGCCCGCGGTATTTATTCTCCTCCGTGTCGTGGAAAGTTGTTTTATGCATTTACACTCTCTCGCAAGCGCACGTCGGCTTCGTAGGATTTGCCCCGACATTGAGTTTCAAAGTTGGCCCCATCCGCGTTTACCGCGGATGATTAGATTCCACTCCTGCGCTCGACGAAGAGAGAAAGAGGGGGAGGGGGCGGAGAGGGGATGAGAGAGAGAGAGAGAGAGAGAGAGAGAGAGAGAGAAGAGCTACTCTGGCTCTTTATACCTAAAGTTTTGCTAGATACCTCAAATTTGTGTTCCGAGAATTCCCGGTCGAAAGTGACTCGGTGTGAGCATCGCTTGATGCGAAGAACAGAGGAGGAGGAGGAAGAAGAAGAAGACGAAGAAAGGATTGCAACCCGAAGCGAAGAATAAAGCAGAGAGAGGGATACGATGAACTCTCGAGAGGAACTCAAGGACACTGAAGGAACCCGGCTCGTTTCATCGATCCGTGTGGAAAAGACCGAAAAAGTACAAGGCAAGTCCTCGAGACGAGAGAGAGAGAGAGAGAGAGAGAGAGTGTGTAAAGGAGACAGCGAGAGAAAGAGAGATTTGCGTGTTAAATATTCGCGGCAATTAATACACGCGTCGGAGCATTGTGCGCGGTGTGATTAAGATGTCGAGAATGCAAACGCAAGGTCGATCTTAATCTCTCGATCCGCGAGTGTCCGTTTGATATCAACAAGATTCTCCGAATGGAATTCCTCTAATGGAAATCACGCACATGATTGACGACGTCGAAGCGAGAGAGCATTCGCGTCCCGTCATCGTGAGAATGTAACGCGATTCAATCGGTTATTACGTATAAAAATGCGGAAAAACACACACACACGCGCGCGACTTAAGGCCGCGATTTATGGAAATATCCCGGCCGCGAGACTTTCACCGATGTCGACGATTTCTCGAATTAACGGGCGAATCAATTTGCGCCGATGGAGTATCCGTCGGACTAGCAGAAATTATTAGTCATCGGACTTAGATCATCCGACGAAAGTGTTTCTCGGAACATTCGAGGGGATCGTTCAGGGTCGAAGAAGTCAATTGCAGGCTCAAGTCGGCGAGGGAGTCGGATCGCGATCCGCGAGCGAGAAGAAAGCGGCAACCCCGAGCGGAGGATCGGCTCCAGAAAAACGGCTAAGTGATCCCTCTCGCCGAGGAAACTCGACTCGTTGGGCGAGTCCCCGTAAATCAGTATCCGTTCGGGATGAAATTAGTGTCAGCTGGAGGATACTATGATGCGTCTCGGTACGCGAAGTCGTTCTCGCTCGGTGCTTCGCGAGCCGAGGCGAGCGCGAGGTGGAATTAAGCAGCGCGCGTTTCGAAGAACACGACGATTTATGATTTCACTCTTCTTCTCTCCTGGCGAGCGAGCGAATGAGCGAGCGAAAGACGACGGCGTTTACATTACCGGCGCAATTTGCCTCTCGTAAATAACCGCCTTGTCACTCGTATATTTGATTGAGCCGAGCGGAAGAATGCGCTAAAAAAGGGAAACCAGTATGCAAAGCTGGCTCAGCTCTCAAGTCGACTTGCGGAAGTGCCGTTCACGTTTGAACGTACAAAATAACGACTGACTGAGCGCGAAGTTATTCCGCGTTGATTAGTCCTTAATTTACAATCGAGCGTACCGATAAGAGCTGGAGATAACTTTGTTTCGATAAAACGGAGGAGGACTAATCGAGGAGAATGTGACCGGGGCTGGACAATTTCTTATCGCCAGAATCAGGTCTGCACGTTATATAAACTGTACGTCGAGTCGTGACTGACTTTGTGAGCGTTTATGTTTGAGTAGATTTACCACTTGAGTCGAAATCACGTTTCGGGATTGAAAGAAACATTCAATCTCTATCGTCGAGAGAAGCGCGGCTCACGCACGGAGCTCGTCCAATCGAATATTTCCTGCAACGGGGAAAATCTTGAACCCATCGAAGGCTAAGTTGATGTACATGGAGCTCTTCACCATCGAGATAAGTCCGAGGAAACCTGGTCGTTGGACGCACACAAGACTCGGACATAGAGCGAAGCGAAGAGCCGGCGGTGGAACCGAGATAGAGCGGACGCGCGTGGAAGATCAAGAGTCGCGTTCCTTCGATCGGCCGGACGATAACGTTAAGGCTCTTGCACAAATTTCCGGTATTTGCCAAGGGAGTGGGAGCACGAGCGGCTGCTTACGGCTCGTCCGATTATCGTACGAAGGGATCGCGTACGAAGGACCTCATGCGAAGAATACGGGATGAACTATTTCGGGCAGGAGAGCCTGAACGGACTCCGGTCCGTTCCTTCCGATATTGCGTGTGACGCGCTGTAGGAAGTGCGTACCGATCGATATATATATATATATTTTTTTTTTTAAATCCCCACACAGGCATCTTTTCATCTTCACTCGGTATGCGGAGAAAAAGGACCGATCGGATTGACGCGACGATGATCGAGTGAAACTTGTTTCGGAAAGGAAACGGAATTTTCGATTCTTAAGAACCGAGTTCGATTCGAAGAATGAGAAATTCGGTCGAGCAAAAGTGCAGTTGCTGGGACTTCTGTTTCTTCCGAAAGGAGAACGCCGCTTGGTTCATTCACATTGTCACGTGGTTAATTCAAGCAGCCTCTTCCTTCCTCCGTGCGCGTAAAACGACATTTATGAAAAACCGATGGGACTCTTGCGTAAAGGAGCAGCCAGTTAATTAAAGGACTGATCAGCGAGAAGCGATGAGAAGAAGCGAGATCCCAGGCGTGTTGTACAACACGTGCTCCGCTATCGCTCCTACTTACGCGATAAGTTTGCCCGAAGTGTTTACACGCGAATCCACTTTCGACGTCGATGTGTAACTCCACCGCCAGACGCGCGTTGATGCATCGTGTAGGTGAAGTATTATGTAAACATGTCGATGTAGCTTGTAACGGAACAGAGCCGCAAGGACGCGGCCGGTGAAAAGCGTCGAAAGCTGCAGTGGCAGATGAACAGATTGTCCACGGTACTTGCGTACCAGTTTTTCGTCGCTGTAGAATCGCGGATTAAAGTATCAGGGATTATTTTGTTATCGCGTAGCGACCAAAGATCGTTTCATCAACGGAGATAATAATTATTCCGCGGCATCTCTGGTATCTTGTTGCTATTGATACCTGTTTCGTTGTCCTTGTTCGGAGATTAATTTTAAGAATAATGGAGTCGAGTTTTCATCCGATCAGTAAAACGTCTGAAACTCACGCAGGAGAAATGTAATTTCACCTGAGAAATTATCTGCGCGGATATATCTCGATTTATTCATCGATGTGTATCCATCTTGGCGTCACAATGAGTGTAAGAAAGAACGCGGTTCTGCCTCTCTCTTTCTCTGCCTTCCTCTCTCTCTCTCTCTCTCTCTCTCTCTTTCTCTTTGTTTCGTCAGACTTGCCGGGTGAAGTTTCTGGTTGAAACGGCCGGTACGACATTGTGTTTGCAAAGTTGCTTCGTTTCGCGAAGATTAACGACGCTCCCGCGCTCGCCCAATTTTCCGCAGAGCCGAGCATTTGAATGCGTCCCACAGACGGCGCAACTTTCTAAGTTTCTAGTTTCGCGTCGAGTGAAAATGTTGGACCGGGCGCCGGGTGCGGAAGTGTCGTGCTCCGGACTTCCGGCAAGGAAATCGTGCGTGAATTGTCGATTACGCAAACGCGCGCGCGAACTCGACGGAAAACCGATCGACGATGATTACGCACGACTTCCAGGTAAGTCGAGACATTCAAAAGCTCACCTGTGAGCCGCGAGGCTCCGTGGCGGTTTGAATTGCATCGGGCAGACGTGCCGTAAGGCTGACTACGTCGAGTTCGCGGATCTCGTAAGAGCTGAGAACGACTGTGTCGACTGGAGAAAGTGTTCTTGCTGAGAAACAGAGGGAGAGAGATCGGTAGGACCCGGCGAATTATGCATAATCGAAATTACTGTCATTTTCCCGCTTTACTGTCCGGCTTTGTGCCATTGGCGCGGAACCAGCGTCCGCCACGCGGACTTCAGTTTTATTCCCGATCGTAAACCGCCGCTTGAAATACTGCCGCGCGAGCTTCAATAAAACGAAAGTTACCAGCGGAGAATCCGACTATTTCATCTCTCTCTCTCGCTAGGGACGCGAATCTATATTTATGTTATATTTAACTTGAGATGCGCCAAGGGGCAGCAAAATTCCCTCGCTTAGAATAAAAGTTGACACAAAGGCGAGTGTGCTGTGACAAAAGCCTGAATGAACGCGTGAATATTTTAAATTTCATGGACAAAACGAAGTGAAGTAAAAATAAGCAATAGCAAGGTGAAATAAAAGATAAGATAAATAAACAAAACATAAAAATGATACAAGTGACAATTTTCTTACGGTGTAAATTGTCTCGTTTAATGCTTGTCGTTATTTTGGGAATACTTAGATCGAGACGGTTAATCGGAGACAAGTAAACGAGCTATCTTTTTTTACCGTTAAAATTAATTAAATTAAAGAAAGCTGGAAAGCTATATCGGTAACATAGACGTTGGACGTCAACGATCGGATTTTACACTTCATGGTAAGCAGGAAAGAGCCATTATCGCCTCGTGATTGTAGCGCATAATATCAAAGGAGCTTGCCTGCGATATTTTGACGAGCTAGGCAACGGAATTCACGGGGGCGGCATAATCGCGGGGAGAAAAATGGAGCGAGTTATAATAGAGAGGAGGAAATTAGGGTCACAGTTCACGAGGTTACGAAGAGCGCTCGCTCGCTGCCGAGCACCGTTAAGTGAACATGCATCTCCGCTTAGTCGCTACAACGCGGCGCCGGAATAATGCTTAGAAAGCTAAGAATTTTCATCGGGAAATATTGCCGAGGGAGGTAAAGTCGTTTCCCCCTATACGCTGGAGGGGGGGGGGAATTTAAAGCGTGTTCTCTCATCGTGCGTTTAACGCTGACAAAGGAAGCGTCTGGAAGTGTCCTTCGCCAATTTTCAACGAGCCTTGGGATATATTGTAAGGGAAGCCAAAAACATGTGCAAGTAGTCGCGCGGACGCGTCTACGCGAGGCGCCGCGTACGACAGACACGCTGCGTCTGCATCTACTTAAGCGCTGCCAGTAGTCGCACACGCATTGCGTCTACCTCGCTGTCGGCGTAACTCTTCGCGCTCGGCGCGTACGAAGCGGTGCGCGTCTGTATCCACTTAGACGCTGCCAGTAGTCGTAGACGCGCGTTGCGCGTCTCCTTCGCCGTGTCGCACGCGGCTCGTACGACGCGGCGTGTCTGCATCTACTTACGCGCCGCCGCTAGTCTCGCGTTGCGTCTCCGCATTTACTTACATACGCGACTCAAAACTGCGACATCAGGTAATAATTTTGTTATGCACGGCGCACGCTTGAATTTGCCGTATAATTCTACTTAATTTTCTCTCCGCGAAGGTTTCGCAAAACTCATCTCTGCGAGGACTCTGCAGTTCGTAAAAAATTCGTAAAGATGATGAGGATAAAGGATAGAAAAATATTGAACTGTTGGAAAATATCGAAATGCGAACAGTCCAGCGGACACAAACTCCGTCGAGACCGTAGAATATTTGACGTTAGAACCATTAGATTATATTCGAGGACGAATTAAATGAGGAAAATAAGCAGATCTCAATCGAATAGATTCGGTGAGCGAAACTGTTGTTCTGGTTGTTAGCTATTATTTGTGAATCTCCGATCAGTATGTATTGAACAATATATCACATCGATAAACATGTTCTGAATGATACTACGACTCGTTGGCTTTGCCCGCTGGCGCATCAACGTGAACCAATAAGAAATTTCCTGGACGATTCGACAGCAATATTTAGAAGCGACGAACAGGAAAAGGGGATTCTCTTTCTTCTCGGCCTCGGTTTCCTTACGCGTTTCTTTCTTTACGACTAAGACACGTTTTCGGATTGGTCACGATTTTTGTAACTGAATAAATAGTCATTATCGTTGATTTACTACGAGTGCGTGTCACTTTTTACACCGTGCGATCTTCTCGTCTGTATTTCTTGGATCGCGGCCTTCGACTTACAGAAATTTGAGTGCGCAATTATATAGTGCATTAAATGAAATTCCGGTGAAAAATATTTTCTCGTATATTTCACGGTTTTAAGTAGAAGGTACGTGTGTGGAATTAACGTCGAAGTGTTGTCCCGACCTCTAAACGTGCGAGAGAAAGTGCTTGTAAAAAATCTACGCGTCTCTTATTTTTGGCTCGTTTACGATACATCGAAGGCTCGTCAGAATCGGTGAGGGACTTTGCTCAGACCTCGCCTTCTAAGTGAAATCGATCGATTCCCGATGGTGTTTGCTCAACGTGTAGCTTCGGGCTAATTTGACGTAAGAAAAGAAACGCTCGCGCTTTTAAGCGTCAAACGCACGTGCGTGCGCGATATAAATCTCGGTTACGCGAGACGCGAGACGCGGAATATATCCACAAAGACGGAACATCTTCCAGCGACACTTCGTCCTCTCTGCGAAGGAGGGTCTTCACGTAGAATTGCCGTAGCAGTAGTTGGTCCCGATCATTGAACTTGAGCTTCCTGCAAATCGCGTCAAGTAAAAAGACGACTTTTGCACGCTCGACCGAACGGCGCTCGGCCGTTGTCGACGCGCGTCAATCACACGGGGCCGGCCTTGCTCGTTTTGTGGAACAAAGTGAACGTAATAACACGCCGTTGAGACACGTGACCGACGTAAAGTCTTTCCGCCCGGACGGCTCTCGCGCATCTGGAACGTTCTTTACGGAGAGTGACGTGTCGAGAATCGCGGCAGGAAGAATCGCGCGACAAGAAGAAGAAGAAGAAGAAAAAGAAGAAGAAAAATAAGAAGAAGTAGAAGAAGAAGAAGAAGCAGAAAAGGGCTCCTCGCGCGCCCGTTTCCGCACGATCATTCGGCCATCTCGCCGAGTCACGAAGAAGCACGCTGCTTCTCGCCCTGCGAGCTCACCACCTCGCTCGGATGCGCCCGCAGTCTCAAGGCCGCACGTGTAAGCTGAGCGTAAAAATTCTCCGACCGGTAGAAAGTATACGATTAGTCATCAACGATCGCGCCCGTCCGCTCGCCCGCTAGCTCCTTCGCTCGCTCATGCGGCTACCTCAACCTGTTTTTACTTGAAATCATTTTTACCCGCGAGTTTCCACATCGACGTGTCGCGCTGGCTCACAACAAAGAACAGGAGGGAGCCGGAGAGAGGCTCGCACTTTTCACACTTCCGGGCTCGGATTTTTCAAGGCTGCCGTTGTGCAAACGATTTTGCACACTCGATGGAGAGAGACTGCCGCCTCCCACCGATCGTACGTATGCGTTTCTCTTCAAGAACCGCGACTCTGTACGAACACGTCGCAGACACGCCACATTGAGAACCATTCTCGCGTCGCACACGATCCGACGCACGAAGAAGAGGGACGCGACTCCCCCGCGAGCCTCCTCTGCATTATTTCTCGAATGATTTCACGTCCGGTGTGTCGAATCGCGACGGTCGCCGTCACCGCGTTCGAAACGACTCTCGCGTTTAGCGAAGCGTGCGTTCCGCGGAAAAAGTCACGAGGAATCTCGGCCCGTCGTGCCCGCTTGTGCGTTCGGACGGGCAACGCTCGACAGACATGAGCGAGAGATCGATGTCGGTGTGTATCCACGGTTTTATTTCCCGAGGGTGTCTCTCGAGGACTCGTCGGTGCCGATGCCGATGCATTATACACGCGGTGAATTCTCCAGCATCGCCTTCCGCTAAAGCGAGCGCTTGAGCGATCTACTATACACGTTAGGCATATAATAGCTACCATACTCTCGTACCGGTCGAACTAGTTTCATGCTTGGTTCTCCCGCGGCCTTGAGGCACACGCGGTATGCTGTGTGCGTGCGTGCGTGCCCGCGTGTGTGTATGTGTATGTATGTATGTACTACGATGTCTGCGCCGATGGTTGTCGAGAAAGCCTTTATAGCTCGCCTCAGCCGAGGTGGACCGCGCGGATCCGCGCGATACCGCGCTCCACGTTGGCCTTCCGCAATTTTAGTCGTTATAACCGTACTCTCGCATTGCTCTTGGATAGATAAAGTGGCTTTGAGCTCGGACATGTAGATTAAGGGCTATTTTCGCGATTTACAAAGCGGCCGCGGCGGCGGCGGCGGCGGCGGAGATGCGTAATCGCGCACCCGCTTCGCGGCGTTTCGCCTGTGCGAGATTTATGCGAAAATACCAGCTTCGCCCAAGGCTATTGGCTTTCGCTGTTCCTCATGTTTCAGCCGCCGGAAAGACATCTCGCGCACCTCGTGGGAGAATAGTTAGCCGTGAAGTAATCGGTTTGGAGAAAAGGGTGTGAAGCGGCTCCAGTCGACAGACGAGACGATACTAAATCCGCGACGTGCGGGCATGCAATGACGTCGAAATGACGAGAAAATGATGGAATCGTGATAAAAAAATCGTCTCTCTCTCTCTCTCGTCTTCTCGACACGTCATCGTGATTCTCCTATTCGTTTTACCTGGGTATTAGCGGAAAACAAGCGGGTGGGATTCGCGCACAATAGAGACAAGAGAGCCGCGTACGACTCTTTTGTCGAGCGACGACAATGCAAAAAGACACGCCTCAGCCTGGTATGCCAAGGTGCTTTCACGCAACGAAACAGAATTGTTCGCGCGTAGGGAAGAGAGGAGGGCACGCGACGCGCCAGAAAGAAGAAACACAGCGACGAGTCGCGGCGCGAAATGAGGCAGGACCTCTCTGGCCGCCGCGGTAATTATCCGCTGTGCTGTTTTATTACGATCTTAATTGGTGCGCCACCATCGGCGGGATTAGTCGGCTTCGGAACAATGCGCGGGACCGGAACGCGCCGAGCCCCGGCAACGAATGTAATTGAGTATTTCGCAATTGTGACGCTTTCACGACCTCGCGGACGCGGACGCGCTCGCGCCTCTCTCGCCTCTCCCGCATTATCGCCTGCGCGGTGAAAATATGTTATCAGCGTTGCCGTTGCAAAATCTAATGACGGCGTTTCGGCTCACTGACGCGTGGAGGACATCTCTCTGTCTCTCTCCCTCCGTCGCGGCAACGCTCAATGGCCCATCACGGCGTGATGGCGACATTTGTCCGGCGGCGTGAAGAGTCGAGGGCGGAATATTCCTCTTTCTCTCTCTTCCACGCGGGCTATCCTCGTTAAACGAGGACGAGCTGCCTGATATTTCGAGGTTGCTTGTAAAATACGCTTCATAAATGCTAAAATACGTCATTCACGCGATAATACTCAGGAATGAGCACGAATTGCCAGTATCATTCCGCGACGATTGCAAGACGATGGGACGTTCGTTTCTTTTTACGTCTTAATAGCTGTCATCGGCATGTCTACATACCATAACTCCTACTATCGTACTACTTTGCGCGTCGGATTGCCCCGTACAACAGCAGCAGATTTTACGCTGCGCGCGTAATCGATACAGCCGTGTGCGGCAATTTAGTCGTAACGTTTGTATCATAACCGTCGCTAAATTCGCGCACGGAGCATCCGTTCTTGTCGTGTCCTATTCCCGCTTGATACTGATTTATGCTCACGTGAGTACGGGGGCAGCACGCAGGCGGGATAAGTATCGAACGTGTTAATAATCACGAGGTCATTAATATTAATGAATCACGCTGGCGCGCTCGCGCGGTCGATGTGTAGCGCGCGTGTTTTACGAGCGAATATCCGGCGCGATGTTCGCGTCCGCTGGAGGATATTTCTTAATTTCGCTTCGGCGTGTTAGCGCCGTATCATTAGGCACCATTAGACGAGCGAGCCCAGCAGGGTCGCGCGGCACTCTCGCTAACGCTGGTGTAAACCTACCTACTCGATATGAACCGGTCTGGTAGAAAGAAGAAACTGTTGTGCATAAAATTACGCGCAGCAGATACGGCCGGCGAGGCTAATCGTCATAATTCATTCCGACGTGTTTTCGATATACTTCCTCCGCTCTCTTCGTTGCGGAGGAGGAAAAGGTGTCGATGACTCCGAGGAGTCGAGTGGCGCCGAATGCCGAACAAAAGAGCCGCGTCGTTAGCCGCGCGATCGGTGAAAAGCGCGGTCGCGACGAGCGGAGAGAGTGTCGACCTGGATACAATGAGTTCGACAAGACGCATTATCGACGCGCGCGCGCATTATCGAGGTCGCGAACGCGCGCCGGCGCGGCGCGGCGATTAGCGAGTGCGCGAATAGACACTTGGGAGATTGGGAAAGTGATTTGTTGCTCCTCGCTCGGCTGACAGCAGTCTCGTCATTACGAGACTTTTCACAGCAACGATGCATAACGTCTGCCAAGCGGAATTTCGCGAGCTGCTCTCGTCGTCCGAGAGTCTCATCGGGAGGAGATTCGTCGAGGGGGGTTAACAAGCTGCAACTCGCGGCGTGAGAAAGGGCCGGCGAGAGGATTCCAAATAATGCGGGAATGTTGCCGAAAGTGGAAGCACCTCGACGATCTTGTCGCGTGGATTTGTTTCGAGTTATTTCGGACGAGTCTCGCGGCAGAATTGTATCTCTTTCTCCCTTTCTCCCGTCTCTCCCCCTCTCTCGCGTAGGAGTGCGTGAGAAAGCGGCCCGCTGCGTTTTCTCGCCAAAAGCTCAGCGCGACGAGGCGATCGCGAGATACCGAATTCCTCCGAAAATCCTCGCGGATTCACACTTCGCGGAATTTTCTGTCGAGTTTTCCCGCGATGTATCGTCGTGGATATTCCGCGCGTGAGAACACGCGAGGAGCGGTCCCTCCCCCCCCCCCGCAAATCCCGCAATTCAAACGCCGACGTTTGTTAATGCGCATTATTAATCGTCGCGAGAAACGCTCTGCGGGTGAGCTTCGGGAGAGGGTTTTCATACTCGTCTTTTACTCGAGATTGCGTCTTAATTACGAGAGCAGATGGAGAGAAGAATGAAAAGACGATACGCGGACCAGAGGTACTGTTAAATTCTCACCCTCTATTAGTAACGAACTATTAATATTAATTAAGTAGCGTAATCTCTGAACTCGGCTTGGTTAGGAAGTTGCTCGTTAAGAGGATATCGAGTCTTTGTTGTCATGCACACGCCTAATAGCTCCTTCTGCGAAATCCTATCAGGTTATAATGAAGAAGTAACTATCACGACGCTTTGTTCCGATCGAGATGAAACGGGGACGGAGTACAAATCGCGTCATAATTATGATCTCGCCTACGTACGTAGGCTCGACTCGCAGAGTCTACTTTTTCTTTACCCGGATGTCATCGATGAGGACGTAATTTTAATAAAAGCGATATCAGCGACGAGGATCTGAGTCGTGTGTCCGCCGATTTCTGACCCGCTTGAATTAATCGAAGACCGTTCGGTTGCTTTCCAGGACGTGATGAGCGAGTACGAACGAATCAAGCGTTCGTGCTTGAAACGAGGTGAGCTCTGGGAGGATCCAGAATTTCCAGCGACGCAAGCGTCGGTCTTTTATCACCAGACACCTCCGTTCCAGTTTCAATGGAAAAGGCCGAAGGTAAAGTGGCAATTTCTTTTTCTTAAAGCGCTCTCGCTAAGTATACGCTGCGTTAGATTCTCGTGACGGATCATGCTGATCCTCACATGCGACTGATAAATGGGATCGTTCTCATTACATTTTCTCTGCACAATTATCAATTACATACACACCATGCTGCGTGAAAATTACTCGAGAAGCTGCGATCTGTAGCGCGATTAAGATTTTTTTTAATATTATATCTATTATATATATATATATATTTTTTTTAATATTACATCTCAGTAAAATACGAGAAAGAAGGTTTGTGCAGCAAAGCAACAGGTTTTGGAATTGAGTGTAGCAAGCGATTCCGTTGACATAAATTTATTCTCGGTTCTTCATTGTTAATAATCATCAGAAATTGCTCAAGTGTGTAAAAATAATTAAATAAGTAATTAAATTTGTGATGATCTCGTTATGCACATAACGTATCCTTTCCGTTTAAACACGTACTTTACTTTGGCGCGCTTGATTACTCGGTTCGCAGAAATTAATTTAGATAAGCATCTTTATGATCCTTGTTCCCCTCCCCCCAGAGATACCATTCTTGCTCGGCTCAAAGTAGCACAATATGACGCTTGTTTTTTCTCTCGCAAACAAGGACAAAACAGTTAAAAGTTGGCTCACTATTCGGCCGGCTGTTTGATAAGCGATCCGGTTGTTCCTCCGGGAACTACCTGGAACTAAATTGACTTGCTCGGCTCGCTCCAGTTCCTAAGAAGCGGAAAGACGTGCGCAGGACGTGGGACTTAGGAACCGTAACGAAAACAGTTCGCAACCTTGACACGCAGCTTCTCTCTGTCTCCTGCGTGCTTATAATTGTGGAACAACGCGTTTTCTGGTCAGGACGAGACTTAACGGAACCTCTCATCAAGCGTCGAGCGATCTCTCTGCCGTCACCGGCTAATTACTTTACTCATATTTGTGTTTTTGCTTACTCCGCAATTATTCTCGCATCACTTCGCAGATATTTCAATCATTCGAGATACACCCCCGCTCCTATAATGTCCAATCCTTTCGCGATTATCGGCGATCACAAAATCTGTTTTATTTAATCGAAATGCACTTTTGTACAAACCTGTAATGCAAACGTATTCGCCCAGTGGGAGAAAGAGACAGAGAGAGTTTGCTATACTTTTACCCAGATGAGCTTCGATAAACGCACCGAGTATTAAGTAAGAAAATTTATCTCCTGAAAATCACGAAAAAATGTATTCGCTCTTTTTAATTGCGAAATTTATTGCAACAGAGAAGCGTAGTAATCTTTCTTCCACCGACCTTTTCCTTTGTAAACAAGAAAGATCAAGACACCAAACATCACTTGCAAATATCGAATCAATGTCCTCCGCGGAATATCACTCCTCCCGAATAGGGAGACGGCCGAGATCCTTGCAGGATATGAAAATATCGCGACGGGAGTCGGCCAGCGGCGGCGGGATCAACGATCCTGCGACGTCGGGATTACGCAACCCGTACGATGAGACGAGAAACGAGCGAGCGAGCGACAGGTGAAGTCGGCGACGCGTAACCGGAGTCTTTTCTGCTTACCGAACGAGATATTGCGCGGCCGCGGCGCGCCGCCACGTATAATAATTGCGATAAAAGTCACCGAGAGCGCATACGCACATATTCCTACGACAAGGTCGCGGCGATTGCGTAGAGCGCGTGCGAGCGTGCGTGTTGGTGTCGCGCGTTCTCTTAACACCGTCACCGAAGATCGTTCTCTCGTTTGCTGAACCGAGTCACGATCGCGCGCGCCGGCCGGAAATACGCGCCGAAAGGGGCAGGTATTATTCCGACGTGGCGCACGGGATGCGCGCACACAGTGCGGAGAACAGTTATTTAATACACAGTGGTACCGATTATTGCGACACGACGCGCCGCTTCGTGCCGTTAATGTCTGTCATTTTTCCACTTGGCACAAGACAACGCATTCACGTGTGAGCGACTGTTCTGTCGAATAATTATCTCGCCCTCTTCTTCCCCCCTTCCCGTCGCATAATTGTGTCGCGATTATGTCCCGGCACAGATGGGCGCGTATTTCGCAAAGCTACGCCATTGAGAATTAATTGTCGATCAATTATTGGGAATTACAAAAATTACAGCCGAGAATCGCGACTGCGCGCGTGTCTCATTAGTCGAGGGATTTGCCAATCGCGGGTTGGCCGATCAGGAGCTCAAACTCGTCAGATCTTGGAAACTTCTTTGAGGACTATTTTATATCACGCTTTGAGCAAGCATACTTCTTTCCCCTTTCTCTTTGTCTCTTTTCGAATCAATGCCGATTTCGACGGGATTCTCTTCGCCAGCGACTTTTGAAGACTGTCGCGAAATCTGCGAAGAAATTAAAGATGTCTCCTTTTTGTTTCAGGAATTGTGCAATCGACCCATCTTCGTCAGCGATGCGCCGGCTCAGTTCGACGTCATTCCCGGGAAGATGGGTGAGTGTCGCGAATCGGAACACGCAAATGATGAGAGCAACGTATTCTAAAAAGGAAACGCGCGAGGGCAAAGCGCGCGTAAATAAACGCCGCACGAAAGGCATCCAGAAATAATGGAACTGGTCGTTCCGCATTTGCATATCCTCCTTGCCCCGGAGGAATTCCCTCGATAGACGTAATGATACGTTGTGCTCTTGCGCGTGTCTGAAAACCTTGGCTTCCTCCTAGCTCCTCCTTGCGAGGAGCGGGAAAGGTTACGCGAGTTCACTACCACGGGCTTAGTAATCGAATATTAAAAGCTCACGTGTACCATGCACGCGCGTTATTTGGACTTTGACTTTGTTGACGGATTGTTCGACGAACGATTATTTAACAACACCGATCGCACTCCACATGCGAGCTACTCGAAAAACATTAAAGACTAAGTAGTACGATTATTCTCGAGAATATCCGCTGCGAGACATGGATTTTATTTTTTATGTACGAAGCATAGTTTGTTAGGTTTGAAAATTGGAATATTTAATATTCTCGTTAATTTTGCTATTAACTGGATAGCTGGACGTTGATCGAATGTACATTATCCGCCGTATGAACGCCTGCTGACTAACAAGAGTTCCATTTTACACCTTGGTACTTCGACTTTGATATTCGCGCTTGCCGAGTATGATCAGACGTCGCGGGCGTCACTCGAGCGAGAGAGAGAGAGAGAGAGAGAGAGAGAGAGAGAGAGAGAGAGAGAGAGAGAGAGAGAGAGAACGACCCTAAGTATCCAAAGTTAGTATACAACAAACTTCTAATGACGCAATTATCTAAAACCGTCTTGAGAAGAGCTGAAGAATCTCATCCGCTATCTTCACAGCCGAAAGAGCGCGAAACCACACGGACCTTGAAATTACCTCGGTAACCTTTGACGAACGTGAGAGATAACACGTGGCTAGTCGCTAGTCGTGTCACGGGTCGAAGTTGTTACCCTCATTTTTTTCACGTCTGCGAGAGAGGGATGGAGAGATAATCTATTCCCGTCGCAGTTTCTGTGTTTTATTCACTCGTAAACAACGGCATGAAACCGCAGAATATTCTGTTCCGCTTGGAAAACATTCGACAACTTTTATCGCCCGGGATATATGATCCGATACATATATTTATTTATTTAATTTTATTGCCAGCAAAAGCCAGCAGAAATATCGGCGAATAGACTGCTCTGGTTACCTATAGAGTATAATGGCATATAATAAAAGAATAATAATATGCAAGAAAGAAAGTGCAGAAAGTTTCTAAAGACATTCATAATTTGCTTGCTTGAGACAATAACCAAGTGGAAACGATATTGCCAGAAATATCTGGAAGAAACTTCGCCCGAGAAGAGAGAGAGAGAGAGAGAGAAAGAAAAACGTGGAACGTGTGCAACGAAAGCGGGAAAGGCTGAGAGACGTTTCTCCGCGATACTCGAATCAGAGCATTCGAGTGCAACCTTTCAATCGGGAGAAGAGCAAGATGAAATGAAATTGCGACCAGGCAAAAGTTTCGATATTTCTTCGCCGTGTCTATAAAATGTACGTTCGCGAGTTGCAATTGCAGTAGGTGATACCGCGATTGAACAACCAAGACGGCCCTATGTGCAGTCGCGATTTTTCAAACAACCAAGTGTTATATCACAATGATGAGCGATGCGGTTGTTACTCGCTCGCAAGTAGTAGGCTAATGAGGATGACGTATATAATCGCGGTCGAAAGTGCGACGCTCGCGATTGGACTCTGACAGACGTAATATTTGATAAGTGCGCGCGTTCGCGAGACTTATTAATTATGCGTATTAAATTAAATTAGAAAGTCGCGCCAGATACGTAAACGCCCCGTAATTCACTCGAGAGACCGCAGCGCTAATTGCGACGGATCGTGAAAATAGTAACACTTGCTAAATGTTACGTGTCGTATCAAACGTCGGAATTATTTTCTCGCGATCGCGAGCGAGATAGGATCGGCGCGGACGAAACGCGGCGAATAAGATAATATAATGGCTCTCGTCTCTCTCGGCTCGGCACTCGGCGCGGCTCGTATCAACCGCGAAGTCTCTCTCCGGCGTTTCGCTTCAGATTCCTGATCGCTATCGGGAAACGCGAGGACAGGAAATCAAACTAGTTCTCGGCTCTCTCGATGGCAACACACGTCGGGTTGACGCACCGCGCGAAACACGTCCAAGCTGCGGCTGTCGTTTCTTTTTTTTTTCTCTTTTTTATACAATGCAATTATCATAACGAAGTTTCACATTCCCGCCAAGAGAAATCTTTTCCTAATCTCTCGTCTTTTCGCGCGCGCGCGCGCGCGGAACGAGCGATCGCGTTGCGCAAATCGGGTCTACCCGAGCGCGTACCGTCGCGTACGTTATCGCAATTATGAGAGCCGCTCTTCTCATTCCACTCTTGCAGTGCGACTTGCAGTGGGACTACGAAATTGCGCGCGAAACTACGTCCCGGCGCTTTCAACGTATTCGTTTGCTTCGTTTGTTCTACGCGTCAACAATCGTCGACACGAACTCCTTAGTTAAAAACAGCAGGTTTTGTTCGTGATATTTTCCTTTTCCTTTTAATCTCCTCGTCAACAGTCAGATGCGCTCGGCGCTCATCCTAACGAGTCGCTGTAATGATCTCGCTTTCTTCGGGCTTTGCTCTCTCTCTTTCTCTCTCTCTCTCTCTCTCTCGCTCTCTTCGGGTGGCCGCGACCGGCTCGGAAAATTTAAACGAAACGCGTCTCCACGTCGGACGCGAACTAATGCACCGTGGAACGTTCCCTGCGACGGTAATCCCTTCCGCGACTCGCGTGTAATTTACGAGTTGAGTCCTCGCGCCGCCGGAAGTCGAGCGCCCTCCAGTAAAACCATGCAGGCGCGCATTCCTCAAGATATAACTGCGCTTGCTATAGCGCGCGCGCACTCGCGCTCGTACGAGACGTGTCCCGTTAACGTGTACGCAAGCAACAGCACGCACAGCCGGTCGCGGGATGACGACACGTAATGATTTACACCGACCTACATTGCGACATCGCAAATTCGGCGCCCGCCGATCCGCCTACCTACCTACCAAAGTGGCCTTGCCACGTGACACGTGTGTGTTTCCAGATTGGTCCCTATCGCGTGCACAGCTGCGGACCTCACTTCCCCAGGAACTTTATTTATTACCTCTGTAACTTTTAACAGGCGTGTCGTTATCGTTACATTGTCGTTGCGCAGGTATGACGTATGGCGGGGAAGCTGCGCAGCGACGCACCGTCGACGATAACGACACCGTCGTTAAAAGTTGCAGAATGGGTCTGCCGGGAAGAGAGATGATGAGGCTGTTCGGGATGGAATCGCGTTCCGTTCCGTTATTCCCTAAATTTCGATCGTCTTATCTGGAAGAAAGGAAATGGAATTACATTCTCTGACTCTTGGAAATCTTTCGAAATAGTCTCATAACACCTGTGCCGATCATATAGGAGACCAACACATGTCTCGGGCGAAACGTGACGTAACCGCGACGTTGGAATTATGTAGCAAAACTGTCGCTGCGTGCTACAGCGAGGAGAACTGGCTTCTGGACAGAGTGATAGGAACGTAAAATAGATTCGTGCTTGTAAAACTTTGTCGAATTGAAATGAAATAAAGAGAACTAAAGTGACCGGGACGAATGTAACAGGATTTACGAGAGACAGGTCAATTTTTACACATGAGAAGTTATATTCGAGTCCCTGTGCAAATTAAATATATTAAATTTTATATTTGATAATAATTATCATTATATCAATAATTATTATTAAAATTTCAGAAAGCACCAGCTGTATAATGATATAATTATTAGTAATTTTATATATATATATATATATATTAGTATTTATTTTTTTACGATCTTGTCGATTGATCTCGTTGACTGTAAAGTTTCGCTCGACGACTCAAATTGCGCACTCAATGAAAGCGACCAACGAAACCATTTGAAGTTATTGCGGAATGGAAGCACGTAATGACCGAGAGTTAAGCTGCCGTAACTTATGTTTATCTAATTGCTTCTCCACTGGCTGATCCAAACGGAACGCGGGAGCTATTATCGAAAGTGAGCAATGTAAATTCGCGTCCGACGCAGGACTCCGTTCCCGTTTTCCTCTCTTTTCTCGCGTCGAGTGACAAAAAGCCGGTAAACGCGAGCCGCACGATCGGCGATTAGACCTTCGGAAACGAAAGTGAAGTGAGCGACTGCGCGCGCGAGCGGCGCGATAGAGCGTCGGTGTCGCTCCTGGATCCTGGAGAATTTTCTCACGACATTACGACATGTTCCACAAATATATCACAGAGCCGTTGATCTCCTGAAAACAAAGCGTATCCGAGTAATTAGGATCGCTCTTCTTCGCGAAGGCCTCGTCAAAACGAGACTTCCTGCTTCCGATTCTCACGCGATGGATGATTTCGCTCTTTAACACGCTGATGCATCATTAAAGTTGAGCATGTTATATCCTTCGTCAACAGGTGACAAGTGGCTGGTGTCATGCCTGGGTGTGCTGCACCTCAGCAAGGGTCTGTTCTACAGGGTGGTACCGGCCGACCAAGGCTTCGGAAGCGGCGGAGAGCCGCCGGGCTCGCCAACCGCCGAGTACGCCGGGGTCTTCAGGTTTCGACTATGGTGGTGCGGCGCGTGGGTGGAGGTTCTCGTCGACGACCGACTACCGGCGGTCCACGGCAGACTGGCCTTCGTCCAAAGCCGCCACAGCGATCAGTTTTGGCCGGCACTGCTGGAGAAAGCGTATGCCAAGTGAGTTCTGTTCTGTCCCGTCCCGCGCTGATCATCGCGCTTCTCGCTCGCTCGCTCGCTCGCTCGCAACAAATTGAGGCCGTAGAGAAGCGTTTTGCAAGGCGGTTACACAGCGATCTCCCGCCTTTCGACGAGAGATCGTCGGTAATCCGCGCAGGGCGAAGATACAGCGCATTATTATTACGAGCGACGGCGAGGTGCTTTCCGAGCCAGTTTGAGACGGACGGCGAGCCGCCGTGGGCGGCGTGGGCGTCCACCAGGTGGCCGTTCAAGGTGAGCTCACGAAGGCGCGAAGATCGACCTCACCGCGTTCGACCGATGAACCGCGGTCGTTGCCGCGTCTGCGTGTTTCACGTAAATGTGAATAACTCGCCGGCGCGTCGACCTTCTCTCGAAGACGTTATTCTAAATTTGGTCGAGCCTTGAGCGCGCTCCGAGCAGAAACTCCGATCGTTTGCGTTAACGATCGTTAAGGAAATGATGATCCATCGTCGTAGGAAGATTATTTGGTAATACCGTCCCGAAAAAAGAAGAGGAAGAAGAAGAAGATACCTCTCTTTTTTAAGTATTTAAAGCGACATTGATATGCTAACGTATACGCAAATTATCGTCAATAATATTCGGCGGGGCGAATGATCGACGAATGTTTGGGAAAAAAAATTAAGTCTCTCGCGGGAGAGACACGCGCGGCACATCGTGAGAATGTTTACCGTTTTCTGTCCTCCGTAGATGAATTTTCACATAAAGTATTCGACGAAGCAGCTGGATGAGACACATCCTCGTCGTCGTTGATAATGACTGGTGCTTCGAACTGACAAGTCACTCGTCGAGCGTTCGGTGAAAATACACACGTTTTCCGCCGTGTTCCCGGTCGGGAATTATCCACGATTCGATGTCGGCGATGATTCGGAGCTTCGTCCGCGCGTTTCCGACCGAAGCGATCTTACCGAAGTGACTTACCGCGTGAGAGGCGACATTTCGCCCGGATGAAATCCACATATTAATGCGGAGCGTATTGCGTGCGTCGCGCACACGCACACACTCTCGCATGGATGTGTGCACTCAGGTCGCGCCTCACTCGTCATGCAGGTTGACAAGCGGAGCGTAGAGAGCGACGTTGAAGTTGCCCTCGCCTGGGCGGGCAGGAGCTTCATCTCGCGACTTCATCTCCGCGACGTCGGGATCCGTGGCGCGAGTAATCGAGGCGCGAAATCTCTCTCTCTCTCTCTGTCTCTCTCTCTCTGTCTCTCTGTCGCTCCGCGAGATAGAAGCGGAGTTTACGCGGACGGATGGACGGACGGACGAACGGACGACGATGACCGGTTTTGCCGGAGGTCCTTGCTCCTCTTCTTAATCTTCCTCTGATGACCGTACCTACCCACCTCCCTCCCTACACTCCACCGCCTCTTTTCCCTCGTTACCCACGCCGTTTTGCTCGTGTTCTCCTTGTTCTATCTCTTTCTCTCCGTCTTTTTCTCTCCTCTCCTTCGGTTTCTTGCCCCGTCGCGCGAGCGTAAACTCCGTCTGGGCGTTGCTCTCGAAACTGCTCGGCGAGGTGACGACGTCGAAAAGAGAGACGACGAAAGGCGACCGAGAGGCGATCGTGTTGCGATTTTCACGCGAGGCTCGCGTGAAAATCTTGCGCTCGTACGCGCCTCGATATCGCACCTCTCACGCGTGTCCTTGTTGATTTTGCTCGTTACTCGCGGCAGCGGATGGGAATCTTCGCTATCTTCGCTATCTTCGGGCGGAGCGACGAAGTTCTCTCGGGATGGGGGAGAGAGAGAGAGAGAGAGAGAGAACATTTCTGAAAGTAACGCGTTATTTTATGCGCAAGTGCACATCGCGTTGCGCTATCAGGCGTATACAATCGCGGAAGATTGCGCGGATGTTGCCTCGCTCGCGTTACGATTGACTTTCGTTTAACGGTGCAAACACACCCACGCTCATTATATAATCTTCTAAACATTGCTCTTCATCATTTCCTTCGATTCGACGGGTAAGAAATTTCAGAATGCGCTCGCAGCTGCAAGGATGTCTGTCGTGCTTGCAGGTGGTGTAATTATCAAAAGGACACGACGTTAACAAGTTCCTAACGAGGCAACTCGCGAGTAATTTATTTTCATCAGCCGTATTACTCGGACTAGACATATTTAAATAATAATGAGCATGAATATGTAGATCCGCTACGCTCGAGGAAAATCGCGCGCGCGCGTAGAGACCTGAAGAACGCAGGAGTTCTTGCTGCGGCTCTTGCGGTGAGAGGAACAGCCCGACAATATGCTGTCCGTTCGAGCGACGGATCTCCAAACAAGTGATTCGCGGTGTTCGGCAAAACAGCGTATCAGCCGGAGCGCGATATATACGCAGCCAGCCGCTGTGAACGCGCTTTGCCGCACTTTCGTCGCAAAACGCGCGCCACTTTTGCGTCACACACACACACACACAACACACACACACACACAGACACACGCGCGAACGCAACAACGGAGCTCGCCGCGTCGTGTCCGCGCCGTGTTCGGTGAAAGCAGAACAGGACGAGCGCGCGCGAGTTTTTCTTTTTTCTCGCGAGACAACAGCCAGCGCTCCGCCAAAGCGTCCGCGTCGTCGTTGCAATCTCGCGCGCGCGAGATTCGCGCTCGGCTCCTGCGGCGCGCGGCGGAGCGCGTGAGATGAATCAAGCGATTGACATTTGGCGATATGCGATATCGAGAAGCGACGGATACATCGAGGTCGCGGCTCATTAATAATTGATGGCGCGCCGCAGACTCTCGGCGACTTCCGACTCGTCGGTGTCGGAATGTTTAGTCGCTAACTGATGCTGCCTCTTCGGTCCGAAGCGAACGACTTCGCCCGCGATAATGCGTTCCCCTATCGCGAACGCCGATCGTAATTGCGATTACGAGAATGATTGCCGGCTGATGGAATATTATAAGTGGTCTCACCTGTGCGTTTTTACGCGCGTGTGCACGTTCTCTTCGTGGCCTCTGTGTGTGTGTGTGTGTGAGTTGCGCGTGCACGCACGCTCGCGATAAGTCCGGCGCGATAACACGTTTATGGTTTTCTGAGCTTCGAGGGAAACACGCGAGTCGCGTACGCAGCGCGTGTTTTTCGCAGTGAAAAGAAGTTATGCAACGTAATGTCGGTAATTGCGGCACGGGGATAATCGCGAGGCGCATCGCGATTATCTGAATAATTCAGTCACAATGTAATCCTCGTTTGAACGTCCCTTGTAACCGCGCGTTAAGTCATCGGGCTTGATTGCATAAATTGCCAAACGCGCTCGTCGACAGCGCGTAACGCCCGAGAGTTACGTTGCGTTGTTTTTCGAGCGATCGCTGCGCGAGCTGCGTGCATTTGCGTTTGCAGGCTTTCCGCTGAGAATCGTTTCTCTCATCCGGCCAAGTTCCTCCGTGAAACTTTCGTTAAACAAAGCATACATTTACACGCACAGAAACACGTTTGCTTGACGTTCTGACGATAGCCTCTACTACTAGTCGAAATTTGCTATCCATTCTGGCACTTCTCTGAGCTTCGATAAAGTCTCACCACATTTGCCAAGCCGCGAATTTATTGGCCTTTGTAGGCGATTAGCGCGCGAGATTGTAAATTCTTTGCGCGAGGCAAATATGGATCGCTTCATTAATATTGTAACACCGAACGTATCGGGACGACTAGTTTGATTTATAAACACGCAGTCGACACACTTTCGCAATCGACTCTATATTTCTCCCCCCTTCTCTCTCTTTCTCTCTCTCTGTCGTGAAGTCGCGATCGATATAGCGACGAATTAATCGCATATTAATGTCATGCGCGAACCGGTAAATAACCCCAACCTCAACGATGGCACACATTTAGAGATCGCAAAGATCGCGGAACATGCGGTGTATGCGAGGGAAAGAGAGAGAGAGAGAGAGAGAGAGATGAGGTTCGTCAGTCGACCTTTCCTCTTTCACGACGACCCCGCTGTAAAAGCCGACCGATCCGGAACGATCGGCCCAGCTTTAGTAAACCAGTAGCGGCATGAAGAATCGGTTAGAAAGCTCGCTCGCTCGCTCGTTCGCGTGCCAGCATACGCAAGAAGAGTGTGCGCAACGTGCCTCTCGTCGATTTCCATTAGAAAACATCGCCCGTGCGGCCCGCGAATTCCGCCCGGCCGACGCAGACTCGTGTTTCACTTTGTTCACCCGCGTGTTTTCCTCGTGTTTTGTAGAAAGTGTCGCATGTCGAACGGAAAAAAAGAAAAAAACACCGTTGATCGGGCGAACGCGCTCGCGCGAATGGAAAATTGCTCGGGGCTGTGTATCGAAATTTAACAGTTTCTGTAATAACGAAGCGAGAGAGAGAGAGAGAGAGAGAGAGAGAGAGAGAGAGAGAGAGGGGACGGGATGACCGATGCGAGCGGAAACGAAGTCGCGAGGCGACGCGCGCGGGGAGGTTTTTCCCGGAAGATGCGTTAACGTTCGTGCACTGAGTGCACGTGTCGTGCCAGGATATACTCATATCATCCAATTACACGTATATAAATCATTCCTATTATTCTAGACATTCGAGGGCAGCGCGGCGAGCTATTTTACACATGGCGTACATTTTCACATCTCGAAGTTGAGACACGTTCGAATTCGTGGCAACTTGTAACAGCCAACTCTCAGGCAGACTCGGCAGCGAAACGGTCAGTCAAGCTAGTCCGAGTCGGCTACTGAGATTTCGTGCTGCCGGGATATAACGTTATATCCAGTATAATTAATAATTTTTGCGCACACCGTGCGCGCAGACCGACACCCGTGCCTGTGCCGTGGCTCGTGCGGTTATTACAGGCTTCCCTCCGACATTTCGTTTCCATTAACGAGCCTCAACGTAGCATTACGAGGAAAAGCGCGAAATTGACGGACACGCGGATTCCGCGCGCGCGCGGAGGTTCTCAACAGGTGTTCGTTCGGCCGCTCGAGCGGCTTGGCTCGACGACACTCGGGGCTCGACCCGAAAAGAAATCCGCCAGC